CAAATTTGCACACATTCAGCCAAAATTATCATACTCTATAGTCCCATACACCATTTTACTGACGCATATTACATTCCTCATGCTTTCATGCACACATTACACTTAATAATGAAAGTACATAATGTAGATATTTAACATATTATAAAATAATTACAAAAAAATATTAAAAACAATAACTCATCGGAAGTTCATGGCTCAAAATGATGAAAATAAAAAATAATATTTTGCGCTTGTGCGTAGAACGAGAAGCTTCAGATAAATTTTTATGATAAAAGATAATGAGCTTTGAATATAAAATTATATTTTGTAAATGTAATCAAAAATTGAAACGTTTTATGGTGCTTATGAGATTTGTTAACTTATTTTGAATGAATTTTGGGAATTTGTATTTTTTGGAGCGACAAAAAAAGGGATAAAAATAATTTTTAAATACGATGGTATCAAGTGACTTTTAATGTGGTTGATATATGAGAAGATCGAGTTGAATTTTCTTTTAAACTTGAATGAGAAATTTTTATTTATTTTAAATTTTGATCACAAACATCACAGAACATCTTGAATAAACAAAATGCTCAACAGCTGCTCATATATCAACACATGATCCTTATATAACATAAATAATTGTGTCAGTCGAATTATTTTCCAATTTTTTAAAGCCATAAAGATGTCAAATTTAATTCATTTCAAGCAAAGACTTAAGAATCAATAAAAAAAAAATCGCATTTTCTTATGTCCCAGTGGTGAAAGATCTGAAAATTTATGACGACATTTTATTAAATCAAATGGGAACCTTTCACAGCTTTTTTATGTACGGAATTTCTTATGTTATAAAATTCATTCATCCATGAGCTTTCTGATGAGTTACAATGTTGTGGATGGAAATGTTTGGTCGACAATTTTTTTTTTTGATAATTTTATTCATTTTTATGTCCAAGCAATTTCATCTTCAAAGATTTTCGAAAATTCATAAAAACTTTTAAATAAATTTCATGACTTAAAATATTGTCAATTAATGATACGATGAAAAAATAATGCAATTTTTATGCAATCGTGAATGATAAAAAAATGTAGCATTTAAGTATTTAGCGAATCCAAAAAATTTTTTCGAAGCTATGAAAAAAAGTAAATTAAATTAAAGTAATAAAAAAAAGTTTAAGAAGACGAGAAAATTTTCCCTATGAGATAAATTTAATTTTTTCCAACATCGAACCTAACTTCATTAAAAATAAAAATAAATTATTTGCATATTTTGGCAATAAAGTTAATTGTATTAATCCAAATTTATCGCTACCTCACAGGGATCTTTTTTCTCGCTTTTACGCATACAAAGTATTATAAGATTTATATAGATGAGAAAATAGAGACAAATAGACATTCTAATATTTTCCATTTTCCATCCGGGGATTATGAAGCTTGACATAGGAAAAGAAGCTTTAATACAATCAATCAGGTTTTATAGTCAATAATTTTTATGGATTTTTCCTCTTTCCGGCAGTTTTTTTTTTGTTACAGTTTTTGAGGATTAAGACATTGAAAGGAATTGAATAAAATCTTATTATTTACTTGAGCCTTTAAATTTTATTCCATTTGATTGTTTTTTGGGGAATATTTGAGTACAATCTAAGCTAGATGTTGCTGAATCTTCTGAGAATATTAAGTCTTGTGCATAAGTGAATTTAAAAGCAATTCTTAGGAAGGTCCAAGATGTTTCAGCTTGGTTTAAAAGATTCTTGCAAATTTTAACTCAAATTCGAAACAAATTTCTCCTTCAAAATTCCTAAAACTTCCAAAATTCTCACTAATTTTTCTTACGCGCCAACTTCCATATCACATTTACAGCCTATCAATAGCTTCATAATCCCCGATGTCTGCAATATTTCATGAGAAATTATAATAAAAAAATTAATCTTGTTGTGACATTTAAAAGAAGACTATTCCTATTCAGGAAACTTTTTCTATTAAGTAATAATTATCACAGGAAATAGAAAAGCAGAACTTCAATGAAGCAATAGAGATGTAAAATTATTTTTATTTGCTATATTAAAATCCCCTCTAGAAGTTAAAATAGAATTTAGTGTACACACAAGAATTTGTATCCTGAGTGACAGAAGATGCTGAGGGTTTAACAGAAATAATGATATTGTGTCCATGAAAATTGGACATGTCTTGTAATCCTTATTATGAGTCACATTTCTTTAACATCATTAGACATTGATCTAATCAAAGAAAATTTCTTTCCTTTTGTCCCTCAGGTGACCAATTTTTCGTATGTATTTGTACCTTGACCTTTTTCTCCATCTCTTTTTCTATATACTTATTTATATATATTTTAATCTACTACCAATAACAATCTGCTGATATGCCAGCGATAAAATTGTATATAAAAAAATCGAAACAAAAAAAACATGAAGAAATTAAATGCCAGAAGCTATGATTATGTACTTATTTATGATGAACTTTTTAAAACGAAATGATAGTGCATTGGATATGCTTATAAAATAATTATTACAAGTGATGGTGGTCAGTTAAACTGATTGAAAATAGTGATGGCTAAGAATAATTTTAATGGTTGAAAATTCGAGATACATCAAGGCTGATTAAATATGTCAAATTTAAGTGTAGAATACCAAGCTTTAGCTATTGACATTCTATGGCTTAACAATTCAAATTGGCCTACATAAGTTTAAAAACTCCAAATTTCAATCTGTTTATCCCAAATGTTATGATCATTTTGTTCAAATCCACAAGCTAAGCTCAAAATTTATGCAAGCTTTATTTAAGAATAATCTGTCGTCAATATTTAAGCCTTGATGTATCTTTATGGTTGCATATTAAACTTTTATAAACTTCTGTTTAGAGCTGAAAACTTCATTCACTCTCAAAGAGTTAGCTCAATAACTTCGTATTTCAATTGAGATAAGTAAATCAAATTCAATTTCTTGATTTAATTTTAATGAAAATCAAAATAGTTTGTTGCCTTTTAAATAAAATCAAATTAAATTCTTATTTATTTTGTATTAATTTTATAATCAATTTTAGTTACCAGTATTGTGAGTAAATCAGATGGAAATGTAATAAGAAAATAAACAAATGAAATCACAAACAGTATGAACAACATAAAAAAATAATGTACTAATAAAAAAATGATCGGATAAAAAAATTATCGCAAAGAAAAACAAGATTTTTAAATTGTCTTTCAAGTAGTTGCTAAGTTTTGACACGAACACACAAGAAATGAACATTAAGCGTCATAAATTATCATCATAACGACCATTCTGCTAATGACATTCCAATTTATTTTATTGAAGATTTATGCTTAATGACATTAGAGTATGGATTGCAAGTGGAATACTTTCAGGGTTGCAAAATTAACTGATGTAGCTAATAAAGTCATTTGACTCTTGTTTCAACTGCTAAATGTGTGCTAAATGATTGCCAAAAGCAAATAATGTCAAGAACTTGAGATTTTGTGATCATATCCTTTAGCTATAATTGACACTTTAAAGCTCAATTTGACCAACTACAGCTGGATTTTCAAGCTCAAAATTGCTGATCACAATCTCCTGCAAGCGTTTCTTAGTCAACCCTGCAACAATCCTCAGCATTATCTCATTTCTTTTACGACAACTGCATTAAATGTTTAAAATCTTTTAGCAAATTACTTTAAGCGTCTTCATCCACAAGAAACGAGTAGCAAATCTTCAATAAATGAATTAGAATTGTCATTTTATTTTTTTATGTCACTGAGTTGAGAATATGAAATAGAAATCATGTTATTACTGTAAAACACAAGCTTTTTTCCTTACACTGATGCAATTTACTGCTGTAGGATGACATAGATGTGATGACACAAAAAGGAAGTCATACGAACTGACTTGAAATGTTTATAAAAAAAAAGTTCTTCTCATTCAGAAGACAAAAATAAACTGCTGTGCATGATGTTCATTTCAGGTTGTATGTAGAAAGGCCTTGAAAAACGAAGATAGATGTTTAAGCATCCCTTGTGTGTGTGTGCCTTGTTTTCTACAATTTTCTCATAAATTTCTTTACACCCTTAACAAACTTTTTACAGCAATAAATTTGCACGGCAACAAGAAAATATGGCACACAGTTTGATGTTGCGTCCCATGCGATTTTTGTTTTGTTTATTTAAATAAAATTATTTATTTTTTCAGTATTTTGGTTCCCAAAATATACTTAATAATTTCATTTTAAATAACCATGGGTGTTTATCAAACAAATTTATTTAAATTTGCATAAAATTTTGAAAAATTTCAAATGAAATAATTTCTTTTTGAATGATATTTGTGCTCAATTTAAGGAAAGCATAGAATTTCTTCATTCCATTTTAATTATCAAATGCTCTTACATTTCAGCAATAAAGATTTAATTTTAAAAATAATTATATTTTCATCAAAGGCATATATTAAAATGTTTTACACACAAAAACATCATTAAAACATTCAGTAATTCACTTTATTCTAACATAAAGTATGCAAATAAACTAATAAACTCAAGTTAACATCTACTCCGTTTCGCCAACTGAATTATTTAAATAAAAATTTGATTTTTTTTAATTTGTCTAGGATGAAAGAAGGTTAACGCATTTTTGGCAATTTTGTGAGAACAGCTATATAAGCTATCCAAAAATGCGTTAATTTCGATCAAATTAAACTCATCTAATCCTTTAATTCAACTCTCATACATTAAAAATTCCACCTTGAAAGCCATATTTCCTTCCTGATACGCTTTCACTTCCTTATTCTCTCACAATCATCATCAACACAATAAATAAGATGGGAAATGGAATGACATAATCCATTCTCATCATCTCTCATGCTCCTATTATTATCATTATTATTTCATGACATACATCCCTTACTCCTATCCCCCCTCATACTTGTGAATAATTCATAAATCAAAAGCATTTTTTATCATTTCAATCATTTTTTGTTGTTTTTTTCTTTTTCTTTTCTTTCTTCTTTTTTAAAACTTTCAAGTTGGATGAGTTTCGTCTTGAGATACAAAGACGCGATCAGGAAATAATGAGTATGGCAGCAAAGATGAAGACTCTAGAGGAGCAGCATCAGGTAACGGTGAAGAAAATTTAAACAAAGTCACTTTAGTCAATCAATCATTATGTATCAAATTTATGCTCAATAGGATTATCAACGCCACATTTCCGTGCTGAAGGAATCGCTTTGCGCAAAGGAGGAACATTACAATATGCTTCAGGCAGACGTAAGTTGATTATCTAAACAATTTATTTCTCTCGTCATGCTTAAAATTATTGTAAATTTATCATAAAAAAATTCTTCATTTTTGCCATTCGCGAGCTTAGGTCGAAGAATTGCGAAATCGTTTGGAAGAAAAAAATCGTATGATTGAGAAGAAGACGCAGGGTGCATTGCAATCACAACAAGAACGTAACCGTGCACAGCAAGAGCTTGCGGAGATGAAAGAACATACGGACATAAAAGATAGAAAAATTAGTGTATTGCAACGTAAGATTGAGAATCTTGAGGATTTACTGAAGGAGAAGGACAATCAAGTTGATATGGCAAGAGCACGACTTACGGCAATGCAAGCACATCATTGTAGTTCCGAAGGAGCACTCTCTAGTCTTGAAGAACAAATTGGAGATAAGGAGAAGCAGGTGAACATGTTACGGTATGTGAATCATTAATAATTATTATGTGTGGTCGCATGTGTGCATTTATGTAACATTTATTTTCATATTTAATCATATCAGTGAACAACGAGATCGTGCCGAGGGTGAGAAGATTGAGGAACGAGAACTTCATGAACGTGAAATTGCCGAGTACAAAATGAAGCTTCATTCATTTGAAAGTGAGGTTGACAAATTGACAACACGATTGCATCGAGCATTAGCCGAAAAGGATCGACTTGAGACAAAGTTCGAGTCCGGTGAATTAAGCAAATCTAGAACTACACTTGACCGAGACCGTGAGCGAGAGCGAGAAAGGGAGCGAGAGAGAGTCGATTTGGATTATCGTCGTAATGTGGATTGGGAGTCTAAGATTCAGCGGCTGGAAATTGAGAACGATAAATTACGTGCTGAGCTTGAAAGGTCACAGGTGAGTGTAAGTATAAATTGACTAAACTCTGACAAATCCAATTAGACCGTTTTAATGTGGATAATAATACTTCCGCTTTTTGTTGGAGATTAAATTTGTGATGGAATTGAATAGGAAGATGAGCTTATAGGATTTATTTGTCCAGTTGTCAGTTTAATTTTAAATTTTAATACTGACAGACCCAGAAGGGCCCTTTTGATAGACTCTAATTCCAAAATCACAAATAAAATTCAGCAAAAAGTTGAAAATCCATTCAAAATTCAAAAACTATTGCTTAACACATTCCGAATCAGTTTGCTTCTATGTCCGCACAACCTCAGGTATCATTCGGACGTAACTCATCATCGCAAGAATTTGATCGTGTTCAAGAGCGTGCTGATAAGACAGTCGCAGAATTAAGACGAACACAAGCAGAGCTTCGCGTAACACAAGTAAGTAGCTTTGTGCCTAGTCACATTTATGTCTATTCACATAAAATATCACACATAAAGCAAAAAGAAACGTTGGAACTGACATCTCTAAATTATAAATTTTATTTTAAACTTTTTTTTGTAATTATTTCGATGGATATGAGATGCAATGATTCATTATGATGATAATTAAAGACTTTTTATTTCATTTCTCATTAATCATCAAAATATGTGCGATTAAATCAAGAAGAGAAATGCACATTACAAGGATTAAAAACATACACAGTTCATTATTTCTGTTCTTAAATTTCTACTTTTTCTTTTGTATTTTTTTTACTTATAGGATGATATGACAAACTTACATAGTTTTGTAAGTAATCATGATTTACAATAAGGCGCTCCAACAAAGACAATGACAATTTTTGTTGCGAATGTGTCGAGTTCCCTTTTATTTAGTTTTTAACTTTTTTGAACTTTTTCTTTTTTTTAAAATTCATTTTTTTGATTCAAACAAGTTTTTTGAACTCAATTTGAGTTTTTTTATCCTCTAATTTTGTTTAAGGAAATTGAAAAGGCACACAGAAAGAAATTTATATGGAGAAATTTGCTGTTAATTATTAGATTCCATTTTACTCCATACATTAGGAACAAAAGTCACATGATTTACACAATAAAATTTGGGGATTTTGGTTGTTTGATAATCCTTAAATGTTATAAAACTTAAATTGCATGAAAGTTTGTTACTGAGATGCAATTTCAAAAGCTTTCATTAAAAGGCTGTCGAGCTGCGCGCTTTTTAAAGGAACAGTCTTGCTTTTTGGTTAAAGTTCTGTCTTCATGAAGCAATTTTATGCTTAATTGCGCAGAACTCAAACATATTTTCATTAAAATCAAAGGACATTAAATCACATATGCAGAAAGTAGATCAAATGTTTGCAAAATAATTAAACACACTTAAAATTGAGATAACTAGAAAAATTTCTAAAGAATTGCGACTGAAAATACATTTTAACCTTGAAAATCAAAACATTAAAAAAATTATTGATGTTCAGACAAAAAACATTTCCTAAACTCGTTTCATTTGTTAGGAAAAACTAGCTAAACATAAATTTTCTTAATTCACTCTTCACCCTTCGATAAATTTCTCACATTCAAGCCTATCCAAAACAAAAGGTTGACATATTTTAAAATTATCTCACATATTTTCCATTCGAACCGAATCTACACAAAAAATCATTTCCCAAACATTCAAAATCACCAGAAAAAAACAAACAAACAAAAATGGAATCACAATCAACTATGTCTCATTAATTTAGAGAATAAAAGGTCAACAAAATTTCACATCTTTTTATCCTTAAATAAAGCAAGAAAAAATTTGATTAAATGCTTTTTTCCAAGCCATTTCACATGAAATTGTCATCCATTAGTAGTTAAGCTTGAGATATTATTATGGAACTGATAAGATAGAAGTATGTTAGGCTTAGGAATTGGAATGAAAATGATAGTAAACTGGAGAATGTTTTGTGGTTAATTAAATGTGTTGTCGAGAAGGAAATTGACTCATTTTTGTAAGAGAAATGACAAAATTTAAGATAAAGGCACAAACACAAGTTTTTTCGTCTTTAAAACTATGTTCTGAAAATTTTTACAAGTTTAAAAACATGAACATAAAGATTTTTCATATTTAAAGCATCCCTGTGGCCTTGATTTAATTCAAATTATTTCCTCTTCACGTCCTTTTCAACGTTTCCAAAAAGTTCCCAAACATATTCAGCATTACAAATTCAAAAGATTCTTTTTTTTCATTGAAAATTATGCAAAATATTTCTTGCATAAAATTTACGTAGGATTTTGAATCAGGAATTTTTGATTGAATATTTCTGTTAAATTCTCGATGAAATTTTCAAGTTAAACAATGCCGCATGATGGAATTGAATGACTTAAAAATAGTGTTTTATCGTTCCTGACTATATTCATTAATTATAAATGGAATCATGTGGTATTTGCAATAAGTAATATTGCAGTAAAATTTCTAATTTTAATGCTGTAAAATATTTTCAAACAATGAATTCAGCTGTCAGAGTCAGTTGCGTTTTTCATGATTTGCATCAGCAACGTACTTAGCATGACATCATTTTATTAATCTCAATGAGAATTTTACATTTATGCTTAAAACTTATGCAGGACTTTGTCAGAAATTCAATTTTTTTGAAATTTAGAATTTCAAATTTTATCAACAAATTTAATAACTTAATCAAACCGAAATTAATTTTCAAAACTTTTCAATAATTAAAAATTAAAATCTTATTGAAAATCAAAAAAAACCTAATCTGACAAAACATTAACAAGGAAATCAAGCTTGATAAATTATAAAGATTATGAAATTTTGTTGTGCCATGACAGAGCTATTAATGCATTGTTACAGGTATTAAAACCTGCGTTATCATATAATTGAATTTTCTGCGTGCTTTATTGAAATATTTTTTTTTATATATTTTTTTTTTCAATTCACACAACATTTTTTCAATAATTTTAAAATATTTTAAACTTAATAAATAATTTTTTTAATTTATTTAAAATTTTGTTGAATATTTCCAAAAGCTTTACAGTCGATTATTTAGAGCTTATTGAAAATAGATGAACATTTTGTCATTTAACAACCCTCTTTTATCTAAAAACTCTCAAAACATTTAATCTATAAATAATCTAAATCGAATTCCATTTCCATTTTTATTCAAAAAAAAGTCAATTGCTCTTGCTCTCATCTCTCCATTTATATTTAATTCAACGTATGAGTATGCTTTCCCGATGACGAAATCGAGACCGAGACTTCCCGGGAAGTCTCGATCTCGTCTCGGTCTCGAGAATTTTCCGAGACCGAGACCCGAGACTAGAGAAGAAAAAAATTTAAGTAAAAATGATAATTTTAGAATTTTTCCCATCACAGTTTGTAGTTAATCTTACAGTTAGGGTAAATGACCTTGAAATTTGCGCATTTTCACACATGAAATTTTCATTTGCTTCAATCTCTTCGGAGGTATGGGATTTTTTCTCTGTTTGTATGGGATTTTTCGGGTGCAAATTATTGAGCTTCCTAATGGTTTAATATCACTAAAAATGATGCAAAAACATCTGCGCTGGTGTTCTACAAACATTTCCCATTGATCGTCTGAACAGAAGTGACATTTTTACATATAATTTTAAAATTTTCGTTTTCATACGAGTGCGCAAATTTCAAGGTTGCGCAAATTTCAAAGTCATTTACCCTATCCAATTTTTGTGAATAAATATCAATAATAAATTAATTATTAGTAAAAGTTTTAAGCAGTTTTTAAAATGTATTAATATTTCAACGTAAAACCTGAATTTAAAATAAAAACTCCTATAATTTTTCATAGTTTGAAACTAAATTTACCGTTATCAAACTTATTGACATTTTCACAAAAAAAAAAAAGAATAGTTTTAATAGGGACACACTTTCTTATCATTATGCTTTTCTTTTATCATTACGTATTTCGTATTTCTATTATATTTTATATTAGTATTAAGACAATAAAATTAGTTTGACTGACCGCATAACAAGGAATATATCCAGAAGTTCAATAACAAATAGACGTAATCTACATGTTCAAAGTGTTTTTTAATTACTTTCAGCGAAATTTTAAGTAGTTTTTAAAGTCGAGACTTCCCGGGAATTCCCGGGAAGTCTCGGTCTCGGTCTCGGTCTCGAGAATTTGTCGAGACCGAGAAATCGAGAAAGCTTACGTAAGAGTTTAAATACATTAAAATTGCATTGCACCAGAATGGCTTTTTAATTATTTTTCTTTCTTTGAATTGAGTTTTGATACGAGTTGTTTTTTTTTGGGTATGATAAAAAGCAAGTCTCCATTTCCAATATATTCAAGAATTAAGTGATCCTCAATTGCATCCTCATCATTGAATCTATCAGACATTGAAAATTTTATATAGACAAACGTTTTGTTTCATTTCCTATTGGCGCATTTTCCAGACGATTCTAGCTATGAAGCAGTGGTTTGGTAAAAAAAGGTTCCTTATCTCCAGGTTCCTTAAAATGGGTGTTTGCCCCATTCAATTTATCATAATCACTACAAAAGATAGCAACACAAACTATAGTTTAATCAAAAAATCATGGAAACTGCGCCTAAACCATCTCATGATCCAAAAGATTCTTATGATTTTTGAATTTAATTTCAACTTCTCTTATAAATCAATTTCTTTTTTATATCCACACATATACTCACATAAAATATTGCCTTGCCAAAAAAATAAATAAAATAAAACAAAACAATAATAAAATCTTTCTTTTCCGTAAAGTCATAAAGCAAGATAAAAAATGAACAAAAGATTTAAATAAATTTCCATATTTTTTCCTCTTTTCTTCCCTTTTTTTCTCAATCGTAAAAAAAATTTACAGAGTGACGCAGAAAGGTCACGAACAGAAAATGCAGCCATTCAGGAGAAATTCGAAAAAAGTCAAAATGAAGTGTATCGCTTAAAAGCCAGATTAGAAAACGCACAACAAGAACAAGACACAATCAAACAAGAGCTTGAACGTCATCAGACGACTGTGCAACGTTACTATAATGAACGTGATAAGGTTACAAGTGAAATGGAAAAATTACGCGAGGAAATGGAGAGAACGCAAGCTACGTTGGGTAAATCGCAACTGACGCAAGAAAAATTACAGAATTCTCTCGATAAGGCGACCAGTGATGTTGAACATTTGCAGGAGAAATTAGAGAAAGCTACTGCTGAAATCAGACGAGTAAGAATTTTAATAATTGATAAATGAAAAATTAATTTTGATTGAATTAGACATAAAAGTTTTAAAATGAATTGATTTCAACTATTTGGGATAAATTGGGTCCCCTCCGCCACTGATTTCTTAGCTTCTCAAATTAAACTTTAAAGAAAACTTTTTCAATAATTTAATTAAATTCAATTTCATTCCAGCTCACCCTTGAGAAAGAAAAGACATCATTTGACTTTGAAAATGTTCAAGCGCAACTCGACAAAGCTCTCGGCCAGGCAGCTCGTATACAAAAGGAACGCGAACAAGTTCAAATTGACATGGAACGCTATCGCGAGAAATGCGAAAAGATGCAAAGTCAGATGATACGTGTGCAGAAGGAACGTGATACGTTCTTCGAGGAACTTGAGAAAGTGAAAGAACGTAATGAGGGCTCGCAGAGCTTAATGTTAAAAGCACAACGTGAAAAAGAACAAATACAGACAGAATTCGATGTACTTAAAGAGCGTTGGGATAAGACACATGCAGTACATCAGAAATTGACAATGGAACGTGACGATTCATTGTCTGAAATTGGTATTCTCAAAGAAAAATTGGATAAGGCTTTATATGCCAGTCAAAAATTAATCGATGAAAAAGAGTCATCAACAAAAGAGTTTGAGAAAATCCTCGAGAAATATGATAGGGCACAAAATGAAATCTATAGACTTCAATCTAGAGTCGATACAGCTGAGGCTGATCGTAATCGACTTGAAGTTGAAGCCGAAAGGTCCACTTTGGCTGCTACTAAAGCTCGAGAGGATTTCAGAAAATTACAAGAAGAGACGTCACGTTTACAAGAAGCATGTGATCGTGCTGCCTTACAATTGGGACGATCCAAGGAACTTGAAGATAAGGCAAAGGAGGAAGTTGATCTTTATCGTGAACGTGCTGACAAATTCCAAAGCGATATGAGAAAACTGCAAGCTGAAAAGGAGCATTTAATTGCTGAGGTCGAAAAACTTACATATGAGGTCGATAGAAGTCACAATACACAAACCAAAAACAATGCAGCACTTGAAAGTGCACACGAGGAAGCTGCACGACTCAATTTAGAATTAGAAAAAATGCGAGATCGATATGAAAAATCTCAAGCAGAACTTCGTCATTTACAAGAAACAGAACAGTACTCTAGAGAGTCACGTCGACTAAAGGAAGAAAATGAACGGCTGCGTGAACGAATGGACAAGGTTATGCTCGAATTAGAGCAAATTCGTGGAAAATCACAGTACGAGCAGGAAGCATATGAAAAATTCAAAGAAAAGCTTCAACAGAAGGAAAATGATTTGAGTGCATTGGAAGCTAAGCTACATGAGACGACTCTTCAACTTGAATTGTCACGACAAGAGACACAAAAGTATGTCACAAATCAAGACAAACAACGTAATGACTTAGAACGTACACACATTGAGTATGAGAAATTAAGAGATAAATTCGAAAGAGTCGTGAAAGAGATGGAACGAATGAGAGCAACAGGCGGTACGGGAGGTCCTATTAATACAATAAGTCCAAGTCAATCAATGAATCCGGCCGATAGAGGTGAAGTTGAGCGACTTAGAGAGCGATTGGAGAAGACTTTACAGGCAAGTTTAATATAAATTTTAAAACTAAAACGAAACTCAATTAAATAAAATATTATAGCAACGAGACGCAACCGAGCTCGAGGCAGGTCGACTAGCAAAGGAATTAGAGAAAGCCCAAATTCACATGACAAAGCAACAAGAAGCATATGAATCGACACGTATTGAATTTGAGAGAATGTCTGCTGAACTTAATCGTGTACTTGAACTACTTGAAAAATCTGAGGCTGAGAAGGAGTCAATGAGACAAAATGCAAAGGTATACGAGAAGAGAGACATGCATGCGGGACAAATTGAGAAGAATATGATGAAACTTGAATCAGATGCAAAACAATTGACGGCTGAACGTGATCAATTGGTTGTACAATTGGAGAAGAGTCAGGAGATGTTGATGAACTTCCAGAAAGAATTGACTGGTGCTGAACAAGAGCTTCAACGGCTGCGACAGGAGAACAACACGTAAATTTACACATTGTTATTATAAGTTCCAAATTTTTAAACTAATGGTTTTTAATTTTTTTACAGTCTTCGAAGCAGAAGTCCTCAACAAGTTCAACAGATGCAACAAGAAATCGCTCGACTACAACAAATGCTTCAAGAATCAGGTCCAAGAAACAACGGAAATGCCGCAGAATTGGAGCAATGGCGTAAGGTCATCGAACAAGAAAAAGCACGTGCAGATAAAGCCGAAATGGCAATTCAAGAATTCCAAAAACATGCACAAGGCATGGACAAACAAATGCAGCAACAGAACCAACAACTCCAACAACTTCAACAACAAATTCAACAGCAAAATCAAAGAATTCAGCAACAGGAACAACAAATTCAGACACAGCAACAACAATTACAATCGAAACAACCAAATCAACAACAAAACAATGCACAAATCAATCAGCAACTCGAGCAGCTCAAAAAAGAACTTCAAGCATCCAATACCGAACGAGATCGTTTCCAAGCGCAACTCGAAATGTTGGTACAAGAGCTTGAGAAGAGTCAAATTGAATTACTCGAGGCAAATAAGAAGATTCAATCAGTATCACAAAACAATGTTAGTCATCAACAACAAGATGAGCATTTGAGGAAACAACTTGAGATGCAAATCAAACAAATTGAAGATGCGAAAATGCAACTTGATAATGAAAAGAAGGCCTTTGATGATCAGAAGTGGGTGGAAAATCATTTATTCTATTTTATTGGATTTTTTACTTATTTTTCTTCTTTTCTTTTGTTCTTATTTTTCCCATTCAATCGTCTCTATTCATGCACACACGCTTAAATAGGAAATCTGTCGAGAAGAAACGAAAGGATGTTGAAGCAAAAGAACAAAAGGTGGCAGAGCTCAATCAGCAGCTTAATAAGCGTAAAGAACAAATGGATCAATTAGAGAAATCATTACAGAAGGCTGGTGGCACAGCAGCAGCCACGACAGAGCTTAGCAAGAGATTGGCTGATACACAGCATCAGCTTGAAATGTGAGTTTACTTTAAAATTTGATTTAAAAATCCGGCCAGTTTGGCCTTATTATTTAATTAAGGAAGCATCCCAAGTAACCAAAATGTTCCATATAATCTTCCTTCGACGTCGATGGAAGATCAAATGAATCATTATTTATTATATTTAAAATACTTGTTTTACAAACATGTAACAAAAGTGCTCCATCTAAGTATAACCCGAGCACGCTTAGGTTCAAATTCTACGAAAAATCATCAAAAAAATATTTTTTTTGCAGGAAAATAATATTTGTTCTAAATTTGGCATTTGTCATATACTTCACAAGAGCTCGCAGAAATCACTAATATAAGTTCTCTCTTAATTTGTATGGGTATTTCAGTTAATTATTTATCTTCCTCAGGTTTGTGTGCGAGTCTTGGGCGTTCATCAGTATGCGACTTAATTAAATTAAGTCCTTTTGTTCTTTTTCGTAGTGTTAGTGTACTTTAATTAAGAACACACTAATACTTTTACAATAATTTACACAAATAAAAGAAAAATACAAAAGAACACGTCGAATTTAGCACGTGTTTTTATCCAAAAAAAATTACAAAAGTCCTCGTGTTATTGATCGAGGGACTTCAGCGCATTTTTGATGAAGCGATCAGTATTTGATTATAATTAATAATTTGCTGCAATGAATTTCCATATAGAAAAAGTTTATCATTTAACGGTTTTTTAAAATTTGAAATTTTACAACGGCTAGAAAAAATTTGAAATTATAGAGGTAAATTTGAATTTATAGAGGTAAAACAAAATTTGAGCAGGTTACACTGAAAACAAAACGAAAACTCATTAATTATAGCATAAATACACTGCTTGAAGACTTTTAACTGTTCGATCGGACAATAAACAATAGTAACGGAGCTAATAAAACAAATCCGAGCTCTCTACGATGTCTGGTTGCAAAGTTTTTATGCTTGCCCGAACGAACGAACGAACGAACGAACGAACAAAGTGTATTATTGAGCTCCCTTTTCGAAAACAAGTTTTCAAAAATGCGCTAAAAAAGTAATCCATTTGTTTTCCTTTGATGTATTACATTGATGTCTTATTGCATTGAACATTTATCTTACAATTTCATAGGACATCATCTTCCGATGGATAATACATGGATAATACATATGTATCATCCATGGAAGATTCTCATGGAATACATTAATCTACCTTTTGGTTACTTGGGATCGGTATTTTAAAATATTAAATTCTTACTTACCGTGATCTGCTTAAGCCATGATAAATTACCCCGTTAAATTCACACAAATAAAATAAGCTAAACCATTAATCTTTAATAATATTTGAAATATTATCAAAATAGCATTAAGCCTAATTATTGCTTATTCCTAATGACATTAATTCAATCAAAATTAATTTATAAATTTCCGCAAAAATTCTCTTACAGAACAATAAAACATCTTGACGATGCTAAAGAAGAATCGAAACGAGGAGCGGCAGAAACAGAACGACTGCTTCAATTAGTGCAAATGTCACAAGAAGAACAAAATTCCAAAGAAAAGACAATCATGGACCTACAACAGTAATGAAAATTATAGTCTTAAAGTTTCTAATCTCATTAAATGAACTTTTTCTTCTTCCTTTTTTCAGAGCTCTTAAAAATGCTCAAGCTAAACTTAAAGCACAGCAACAAGCACAAGCAGATGTAAGTTGATGAATGTTAATGACAAGACATTCATTATTGTGACTTTTATTCTATGCTCAGGGGTAGACTCATTAATGCTTGTTAGAACTTAAAAGATTTTTCTTAAGACACTAGTGCGGAGGTGTTAATAGGTTCAATTTATAGTGTTTAAGTGCTTTAGTCAGTAATATGATGTGAAGGCGTCTTGTTATTAAGTTGAAAATTAAAATGTAAAGGTGCCTCAGCATTTGAGTTTTGAGTGAAGGTGTTTTAGAGAATTAACTTTAGTGTGAAGACTCCTCAACTCAGAAATAATATCGTGACTACACCTTTATCTCAAAATGTATAGTGTGAAGACTCATTGGTATGAAATCTTTAGTGTGAAGTCACCTTAACTCAATTCATACGCAAAATTAAAGTTTAAAGGCATTTTAACATTAAATTCAAAAGAAAATAACACTATTGTGTCTACCCATGACATCCTATCTGCATCCTGCCTCATATTTACTAATCAATTTTTCTCATCCCATCTAAACAGGCCGCAAATCCCGCTCAACAGGCTGCTGGTTTCCTCAAAAGCTTTTTCTAAATTATCTACTCATTCTTCTTCATTACATTTTCGCATTTATATTTAATATACATTCATATAATATACATACACAAGAAATGCCATCGCTCTCAACGATTAACTTCTTCTTTATTTTTTTAATCTTCAATGTCATCGTGATTGCTTTCTATATGAGAAATAATAATATCTGTGGAGAGATTTATGGGAAATGATGATAACGTACACACGCAAATAAATAAAAATTTGTATGAATATGGAATAGGAAGAATAGAGTGTCTGTAATGTGCATTGAAAGTGAACAAGAGACTCAAATAAGAAATTGTTATTGTCACATAATCCAGCAAGAAGAAGTTAATGAGATTATGAATATCAAGTGTGTTCGTATGAGAAATTTTTGTACACGTGGAAAGAAAATTAAGAGGAAGGAATTATTGGATCAGAAACAATCAACATTATTAATGGATGTAAGGCAAAGTAAGAAGAAGATTCAAAATTTGTGGAATTAAGATTTAATTTAAATTACATTTTTTGTGATAATGAGGATTTCATTTGTAATGATGTGAGTATGATTTATATTATTAATATGCTTAATGTTCATTCTACCTAGCTTAAAAGCCTTAAAATTTAAAGGATTGAGATTTAAAATATGAAAATCGTCTGAGTAAAAAACATTGACATGTCGACAGTAGCTTCAAAAATTGCACACTCACCATGAATCTTCAGTAATGATTCCCAAGTTGATTTCTTGAATTAACACTGACACTGACTATTAATTTAAAATTCCCAAATGGAATATTACTGTTCTCACTCAATTATTCAATGAAAAGATTTCTCAAAGGCTACTTTGATTTTTATAGCACCATTGACACTGTGTTTGATTTATATTTATGAAACTTTAGAAGATAATTTGATGAAAATGAATGATTTTGGGATTTGAAGATTCGTTGAAGATTTTAAAGGAACTCTATTGAATTTTTGAGTTTTGTCAGTCCTTCATCTACAAAGTTGACATTTTCTTCTGAATTTTACACATTATGTAAGATGTTGGCTTAAAGCCAGCACCACTTAAACAGATCTTAAGGTTGGTTCCTTATAAAAGCACATTGTTCTTCATTTAACATCTAGTTGAGTGCCTGAAATTAATTCATGATAATTTGCGTCAAGGAACAAATTAATTAAATTTAAATAATATTATAGCCTCATTGCTAGAAAAATTATGCAAATTACCCAAGCTGATGATAATCATCTCCGAAAATCCGATCTATTCATCAGTGGTTTTAATTTCAGTTACCGTGTGTTTTTGCAATTTTGAATGAGATTTTGAATATGAATAACTCAGCGCTTAGCAACATGCTGTAACAATTACTCAATCCTAGACCATGTCAAGCCTTTTCATACTGATAGCTAACCTCAGTAACCAGAAAGTTAAAAAGTTGATTTAAGGAAGCTTAATGAAAAACTTTATGAACTTAGTCTTGCTTAAAATTAACTATTTGACAGTCTGATTAATTGATTAAGAGTTTGGCTTACTAATATAATAGGATTAAAGCTTCTCATTCTATCTAGATTCTTCCTACGTCATTATCTAGTTCTCATCTAATTTCAAAGAATTTTCATGTTGAGCGACCATTTAATGCAAATTTTTATTATCAAATACCTTTTATGCTAATACTCTTAATTATCTTGTTCATCCATTCATTCATTATTTTCTTCTTTCTCTTGTTGCAGGAAGTAATAAATGATTAAAGAACTCTCTTACATGACAAGAAATTGAATATGATAATTATTATTACTATAATTATAATTAAATTAATAAAAATAAACCAAAAAAAAATGAAGAAAATTTTTTATGCGCGAAACAAAAATAAATATATATAAAAAAATATTATTAGTAAATTGATGATATAGTAAAATTAAACTAAATATGGAGATAATCGTCATTCATAAGTGAGGAAGATTTAAAAAAATATTCAATTATAAATTCTCTCTTCTTATATACATCGCACTAGATAGAATTTTTCTCTATTTATATTATGATTATAATCATTGCCATTATCATTAATTAAAATTCTATTATTCACCTGAGGGACACAAAGGTGACATGAGTGGCATTTTGAGGATGGTCTTTTGGAGGACTGCTTTTTTTATTGGCATTTGAAAAGATTTTGAATATTTAAAAAAAACTATATTTAAATTTTATTTCAATTCAAAGCACTCAAAAGCATCCAGCAATACCATAAAAATCCTCAATCTATGCTGGTTCAACAACTCTTGTGACCTTCAGGTACCTATTTTTTAAATTTAATATAAATTTTAAAAATGGTACAAATTAATAAGAAAAAAAAACTGAAAAAAATAAGAAAAAAATTTACGAATCTCTAGAATATCCAAAAAAGTAAGTCTATGATGAGGAAGAAAATTCTCTTTTCAAGTTTAAGTTTTTTAAATTTAATTAAATGTCGAATGATATCGCAATACTTCTGTATTTAAATCTAGTCACACAAAAAATGAATAAAAATCTACTAAGGATTCAAGCAAAAGAGGTTGGAAGATTTACCTATTCATAATCATATCATTATCTTTGTAAAATATTAATTTAAAAAAAATTATAGTTATTAAAATTTATCATAAAAATAAACAAAGAAAATCGAAATGAGAAGTATAAAAATTGTCGACGTAAAAAATATTAGAAAAAAATCAATAAAATTGGAATTTTGGAAGCAAATTAAGCGAAATCAACAATACCAATAAACAGTATTAAATCACATAATTGAGTATGCCATGACCGAAATCTTTAAACTTCCTCAAAATTATTATGTAGATGGAGTTCTAGTTAAATAAAACTTAATTTTTAAAAAAATGCAAACAAAAATTCATTTAAAATTTTGCGGGAAAACCAGTGAAATTTCTTCGTGGGTTAAAAAGTCTTCTGGTGATTGAAACTTAACAAGAGATTGATGTATTCTAAAATAACATAAACACACAAATTCTGAGTAATGTTTCGATCCAAAAAACTCAAATTTAATATTAATTAGAACATAAAGAATTTTGAAGGCTATTTGAAAACTCTTCAAGACTAAAAAGCTGTCTACATAACAATTTTGAGGAAGTTAATAGCATAAACAGATTACCAACCACAATGAATAAATTTTGAGATAAAAAAAAAAGAAATAAGAATTGTTGTTAAATAATTGAAAAAATGAAAATTATGAATATAGCTTTCTACAGTATAGATATACATACAGACATACCTAAATAGAATAATGGTACTTTTTCCCCTCCTTAACTTCCGCTACATAGAAAACAAATATCTCTATAATACATAATAACATACATTATAGTAATAATAATAATGATAATATTGCCAAAAGAAGCTTCAATTAACCTTTATGTCCAAGAGGAAAAAAAAAATGAGAAAAGAGGAGACAAAATTACACAAAAAACACACATTATTGACAGAATAAAGGAAAAATACACTTCAGTATATAAAAAAAAAATATTATAATCATATGAATTATGAGGTCCTTAACTTATTGATACTCATATTTAAGATGAAAAAAAAAACTTTATAGACAATAATAACTTTTGCGAATGGCCGATAAGCAAGAATATTCATGAACGGTATAAAGTTGAAGACCAACAAAATATTATGAGCGTGTATATATCTATCAAAATAAAACTCTGACTGTCTCTTTTGCTGCATTTTTCTTGGAAAACTTTAAACAATTATAAGACCCTTGATGAGACTTTTGCTGGATTTTAGGATGGAATTCAATTTTTTTGACTTACAATTACGAAATAATTTTGATGCTTCATTAGGAACTGGGGTTGGAGACTTTTATGTCTTTAAAAAGGAAATCTCCTAATCTGACTACCAGATTATCAAGCACAGATTAGGTTTCAAGATATTTGAAGGATTAATTTCATCATGTTAGATCATCTAAGGTTTAATACCCTGATTGAGAACCTAGCATGTAAAGAATGTTCCTAAGGATTAATTCTTTGAAGTATGCAATCATGGGTTCTTAATCTTACAAAATTCAAATTCCTTGTGAAATATCCAAAAATGATTTAAAAATAAAGCAAACTACACCTTAAAGATTTATAAAAATACATAGTAAGTCATGCAAAAATTCTCCAAGGGTCAATGGTAAGAATGCCTTCTATCTATTTTAAAAAAAGATTTTTTTTTATATTGCACGCTTAAGATGAATGGAAAAGATAATAGAAAATATTATGGAAACAAGCTTTGAGTGTCTTATCACATTAAATGATATCTTTTGCTGCTTTATGATAAAAAAAATACACAAGAAAAAGTTTATAATAAAATTTCTTCATGTGATTGTTAAGACAAACTTCTTGTTTTATATTTTATTCTTTGAGGAGTTGACGAGATAAAAAGACATTTTCTTATAATGCAAAAAACAAACACAAATTTTACACTCACACGCGCGCTGCAAATGAAAGATAACTTGCACACTGCACAATTTTTTTAAACAATCCTTATTCTATGAATGGAAAGAGCTTTCTTTTTCCTCCTCGTGTTCGTTTTTTTCCATCTTCTTCTTCTTCTATGTATCTACCCAGCTCACACAACCAATCTCTTTCACACTTTCAACTCTTTCTTACTTTTTTATTCTAAATCTTAACATTTTAAAGTCGTTCATTTTATTTTCTTGCCGTGTAAAATAATCTTTTAAATGAATTTCAATGGATATAGTTAGACATTTAGGAACTTTCCGATGTAAATAATCAATTGCATCAAAATTGGCCCTAAGAAAATTCTCTAGGCTATACCAAATTGGCACTTTCTGGGTCACTTAATTGGGAGTGTCTAACTATTACAGCTTGTCTATTAAGTTCAAGCAAATGTAAATAACCAATTAATTTAGTAACTTCGAAATATTTGGCTTAAAAATTGAGAATATTATAGCAACTATCAAACTACCGTCACACATCAATCAGAACTTAATGATCATCATCATCGCATATTCTACTTTTTCGGACACAATACTTAAAAGTTTGACATTAGATCATTGGACACAAATCTAAGATTTTAAGCTGCAAAACAATTCCATTTCCAACTACATCATCAACTAATCTTCTGATCCTCACACTTAATCACATGACATGCATAAATTTTCCACATCCAAGGTAGTTAAACATGTCAATCGAATCGAGCTAGTTTCCTTGTCATAACGATCAAAACTAATACTTTATGACATCAATTTCTATGCATGCGGTTGGATCAGAAATATTTATGAGGATGAAATGATTGTGGAATTTTGATGTTGTGATGCATGCTGATATGAATTACAAAAGGACGGCAAATTTATAGCTGTTGATGTCAATCAATCTTAATGGGAATTTATTTTGAGTATTAAATAGGGTTACCAGGTCAGTCGAATGAAAATCTAGTAGTTTGTGGTGTCCAGACATCAAAAAAAATAATTCAAGGTCAGCTGATCCATGTCAGCTATCAAAAATCATCTTCTCTAGTCATTTTAAATATTTCAAGCAACTTTCACAGCCATTAACATCATTATTCAATCCAATTCAAATAACATTTGTCAGATAGATAATCATAAACCTTTAATTAATTTATAATGAATTAGAATATATGAAGGAAGGACAGATGAAATATACCTAAAACCACTGAATAATTAATTTAATTTAATTTAGTGTGAGATTCACAGAGTAAAATACTTGTTGATGGACGATATCTACTGCCATAAGATATAATTAAAAAACATTGTAAAATTTAGATGATGAAAATAAAATTTAAAAAAATGATTAAAATATCAAGTCACAAAAACAGCTGAATTGAATACAACTGGGATTGGGAATTTTGTGCACAAGAAGTTCGTGAATGCGTTTGGTGGGTTCAGAAACGTGCTCAATCTATGCTTCACTAGTTCATCTGGCATAGTTTGAAAAACACAGCTAAGTCGTGAGATTTTGCTAAAAGCCCATCAAAAAGTCCACAGAAAAAGACAAGAAAAAGCTTAATATTAAAGACAAAATGACAATTGTGTTCTGTAAAATGTAACAAATCCAAAAAATTAAAGTTATTGATAAGAACCAAAAAATAAAAATCAAAACAACACAGCTGAGAATCTTTAAAAACCAGAGAGAGAGAGAGAGAGAGAAGAACGATGAAAATCTCTAGCACAATTTTAGAAATTTCATATCTTAAAGGAGATGAAACTCATAAAAAATTCTCTTATTTCTTGTGTAAATTTATTTCTTATTTTATGCTGAATTATAAATCATACATATACCAATAAAAATGTATTTCATAAGTACTTGATGATGGAAACAATGTGATATGAATATTTTTTGCATAAAAAAATTTGTCCAAACCAAAAAAAGCATTTTACAGCATCCATCGTAATTCTTCTTTTCGTCTTTTTCCCATGCTACTAGCTTCAAGCTATCATCAACCATCATCTCCCGTTGGTCATAAAAAAATTTGATGCAAATATATTTAAATCCATTCGTTTTCATGACATAAATGTGTTCAAGTCAAAAAATATGTAATTTAACATAAAAAAAATATGAAAATGTTAGAAGAAAAAAATTGTGAAATTAAAAAAATGAAAAAAGAAAAAAAAAATCAGAATTTTTTCATTTTTTTCTATAAAACAGAAAGTTAATAAAGTTAAATGATTTATTACTTGAAAGCTCAGCAACAGCATATTTCATCATCAAAACATCTGGCGATGGTGATTTAAAATTTGTCAAATATTTTGCCATCTTCAGATTTTCCCTTAACAACATTTATTCCCAAAAACAATTAATTAAGAATATAATCAAATTTTCCAACAAAAAAACAACCGCAGCAATTTTGTGCAATATAAAAACCGTACTAAATTAAGTTAAGCTAATTAACTTGAATTGTAGTTTATTCCAATGAAAAAAAAAATATAAAAAATATTAAAAAAATATTTAAAAATGGACCAGATTCATACTTCATAAAAATTATAATCTAAACTATCGTTATTTTTCTCTCACATCAAGACAAAAACAAAATACTCAATTATCTCTCTCGATAAAAAAATACATACTTAATTTATTTGAGGCCCTTTTTTCAAACTTCTTCCTCAAACAAACTTCATCAAAAATTCTTAAAAGTTTTAACAGATTATAGATGGGATATTGGATGAAGGTTATTGCGCTGATTCTATGATTTCGAGAACATTTTTAAAATTAAGTAAGCTGATTTACATCTAGAAGTTTCAACAGACATTAGTTTTTTGAAAATTGACAAGAACCAAGTTTTTGGTTAACATTTCCCTTAAAACTTAACTGTAGGTTAAATCATTAAGTTGATATTTAATTGCTTGTTGTGATTCTCCAAAATTCAGATAAAGCCTGAATTTAACTAAATCTCTTCAAGAATAAACATAAAATCACTGAAAGAACCACACGACATATAAACAAACAGATTCTAAACCTTGTTTTCAAAGGAAGGTTCCTTAAGAATTCAAAAAAATATCAATTTTCAATAAATTAACGAAAACTTTCACCAATTTATTAATGTTCACAGCAAACCATTGAAAACTCTATCAGGATATCAATTAAAAGCAATAATCAGCACGATAACATTCATTCAATGCATACTTATGAATAAATTATGCAGGAAAAATATAAATGACAGTACTCGACAACCAAGAAGAAGTTAAAAGCAGCAAAAATATTGCGAAAGTAATTAAAATTCTTTTCAAACGAAAAGGAAGAAAAAAATTGAATGCTTTAAGAAGTAAGGCACGATTATTAAGAAGAGAAAGAAATCTTTTAATTCAACATATCTCCAATCAACTATTAAATTATTACAAAATATTATAGTATGATTGAAGTAATTTAAAGAAACGTAAAGTAGTTGAAATAGATTTGTCTATTTTGTTGACATTTTAAGTAAGCATATTGAATAATGGACATTGAAGGTGGATAAAAGAAATTTTCAATCAATTTAAAGAGATGAACTTTTTTGTAGATTTGCAATACTTTTTCTCTATGAAAAGAAATCAAGATTATACTCCAATGGAAGAGAAGTCAAGTGATATAGAGTTGCTGGGGCTGGTTATGGATCTAGAGAATGTAATTGTAAAATTTAAAGGATTCATAACTTAAAAAAAGAAGTTGATCTTAGTTCTTGAAGTTTATCTAGCCACAACTAGCTCCAGAACTTTACATCACACGATTTTATTAAAATTTATTGAAGTTTTTATTTGTTAATTCAAAAATTTTATTCCTCATCACACACAATTTACATTATTAAATAATTAATTCCTTATAAAAGAAAAAACTAGTAAAAAGATCGCCAGTACTTTGGATCTGGGCGACTTCAGCGTATTTTCCTCTTACTGATCAGTAAACTTAGTTGTAACTCAAAATCGTTTGAGGGCCTTAATTTTTCGTACCAGATCTTTAATAGTTCGTTCCAGATTTTTATTTTAAAGATCTGGTAGCATTTAAAACATGTCCCGTATCAAAAACATAAATTCAGTAGCTCTACAGTCATAGTCAACCCCTAAAACAAAGATCCAGTAGCTTTACATTCACATCCATCATTAAAAATAAAGAACTAGTAACTCTAATGTCATATCCAACACCAAAAACTAGGATCCAGTAACTCAAAACTCATATCCAACACCATCAACAAAGATCCCATAACTTCAATGTCATGTCTAACACCAAAAACAAAGATCCAGTAACTCTAATGTCATATCCAACACCAATAACAAAGATACAGTAACTCTAGAGTCATATCCAATCCCAAAAACTAAGATCCAGTAACTCAAAACTCATTTCCAATCCCAAAAACTAAGATCCAGTAACTCTTAACTCATATTCAACACCATCAACAAAGATCCAGTAACTCTAATGTCATATCCAACACCTATAACTAAGATCCAGTAACTCAAAACTCATATCCAACACCATCAACAAAGATCCCGTAACTTCAATGTCATGTCTAACACCAAAAACAAAGATCCAGTAACTCTAATGTCATATCCAACACCAATAACAAAGATACAGTAACTCTAGAGTCATATCCAATCCCAAAAACTAAGATCCAGTAACTCAAAACTCATTTCCAATCCCAAAAACTAAGATCCAGTAACTTAAAACTCATATCCAACACCATTAACAAAGATCCAGTTACTCTAATGTCATATCCAACACCAAAAACAAAGATCCAGTAGCTCTTTAGTCATATCCAACACCAAAAACAAAGATCCAGTAACTCTAATGTCATATCCAACACCAATAACAAAGATACAGTAACTCTAAAGTCATATCCAATCCCAAAAACGAAGATCCAGAAACTCAAAAACTAAAATCCAGTTACGTTACATGAAGCAACGTTCAAAATTTTAACGGCTATTTTGAAATTTGAAATTGTTTTATCAAACTCGTATGTTATGCAAAAGTCGGCTAAGTCGTTGCAAAAAACATATAAAAGTTAATTTAATTAAGTTTTGGTAAGAAGTTATGAAACATAAAGCGGATTCGGTTTGCCTACAATATGGCAAGGATTGAATGCAAAAAATCCGAAGGCTCTATATGCTTTCATTGCTGAGATCTCACGGTACCAGCCAGCCAGCCAGCCAGCCAGCCAAAGTGAAGATAAAAGCGTATTGTTCCTTAGGAAAATACGCTAAAAATATATCGAAATAAAAAAAAAGTCTATCGAAGAAATAAAAACAAAATCTTTGTTGTTGATGTTAGTCTAATGGATAATAAAAATTACAAAATAAACATCACGAGTTGTATTATTTACAATTAATGGAAATTGAAGGTTTTTAGTCACTTGTTAAATCGTAAATTTGGGTATGAAATTGTCAATTTCCTTTTATTTTAAATATAAAATCCATAAAAGTACAAGTGAATCTGAGATATTTTCTTAAATCAACTAGGAATATCATTAAATTCACACTAGTTTTACGGATTGTTCGCCTTGAAGATAGGAACCAGTTATGACTATAGATTTTCGACCAGAAAATCAACAATTCATCACAAGATCCTTGTCTTCTTGGACGAAATCAAAAACTGAATGAAATTTTTCAATTTCAACTACAAGAAGAACTCTACCAAAAAATAAATTATTCATATATTTGAAGAAGAAAAAAAAGATTTAAAAATTATTCAATGAAAAATGAATATACAAAAAGATTAATAAAGAATAAAATAAAAATTTAAGATCGATCGCTATTAAACATAAATATAATAATGATGAAAACATAATGTGTGCATAAACGGATTAAAAACAACATTAAATAAAGCAAAATGTTATATTATTGAAAAATATAAATGAAATGTGTTTTGATTTGTTAAATATCATCTTGTTTGCAGTTTATAGTTGTAGGGTGGTCAAGGAATCTGAAAAAAATCAATTTTTCAAATAAATGCACAGCATGGGTAAAGGATGGTTTTTGGGTCAATCTCCTTCCTTTTCCCGAACAACTCCTAATCAAATGAACCAAAACTACTACACATCAACTTTATATTCTTCTGAAATTACTCTTATGAACCCCATAAAAGTCACTTGTCACCATCTTTGCCTCAAGTCTGTCAAAATAGTTGTCAGCAATTGTTGCAACATCCTGATTTCTCGGTTTTTTAACCACGATGATTGGTTCTCTTGACTTTGCAATCATCGCTTTGTACTTCTTGCTGTTGACAATACCAATTATTTGAAACATTGCAATGCTAACACCCCACAAGTACAGCAAAAGGAGAAGATAGAAACCTCCAGCGCAGCAGGCAGCAATTAGGATGCCGAGGTTCCAGCTCTTCTTCATGTACAGCATGTAATTGACGTGAAAGGTAAGAATGAATGCAATCTCTACGAATCGTAGCACTATATATGGAATTGTAAGTAGCCTGTTCTTGCTGGTAGCCGCAAATATGTTAATGACACATGCAGCAATGCATCCTGCATATAATCCAATAAATCCATATCGAAATTGGACAGCATCTGTTTATCAAATTAATGAAATATTTAAATGACATCCATCAGTAATAAATTGAAGCTTACAATCTTTAATATTCTCGCTTAAAATCTCGTATAATTCCTTTGACGAGACTTCATAGGAACTCTCTTTAGACTTATCCTTCAAATCGTCAGCCATAGTAGCTATATCCTCTGCACTATACATAGAAATTCCAATTAATATTCCTACATTCTCAATTATGGTAATTATTGATGTTATAATGACTCCCAGGCGTACGGGTACGCAAAAACAAAAATATTTCATTAGAACCATTCTTTTGGAACTGATATAAATCACTTCTGTTGTTATACTAAGCTAATAAAAAGCTTTATCCTTTGGTTATGACTAGAATATCAAAAGTTCATTGATTTTTTTCAATTTTCCATCACAAAAGTTCACATTCATGTAATGAAAATTCATTAATGGACATTCATTGTCATTGAAAATGTACACTGGCTTTGATTAGCGTGATTTTGAAGCTCATGTGTCGAGGATATTAGGGAGTAGATATAATTATGCATTATAATTTTTTATGGTGATATATTTTGGATTTTCAATCATTTTGTTCTACTGTCTAGAAATGAATTTTGAAAGTCTTGCATCCGATACAGTGAAGAATTGATATCAACTTTAATTAATTGAATTGGTGTTAGAGATTTTTGGTTGATTTATAATTTGCGAATAATTAAAAATAAGCATTCCGAACCAAAAATGTGCTCTTTTCTATTCCATAATTACAGCTCACATATTTTCGTTCTAGAAATACCACGACACATTACAGCATGTTCGTTTCCTTTCACACGTGTGGAAAATTTTTACATTGTATTTCCATTATTTATAGTTGTTCTTTGAAGTTTAAACAGTGTTTAACATTCTGAAAGTGGAATGTTTTCCTCAGCTGTAGATTAAAGCGAAAAAATTTGTTTGACCCTAATTTTTGTTATGTTAAATTTTCCTTCACTGTCAATAACTCGTACTAAAGTTATCAAGCAAAACCATTCAATTTGTGTATTTACATGACAGTTCAGAACATGAGAATGACAATTTCTTTTACTCCATTAATGAAGTTTATTGATGAATCATTTTCTCGCCTTTATGACAACTGATTAAATTTATTACGAGTTCTCTAAAGGGCAAAAAAATTAAAGCAATAACGTCAGCTTATCAAATGATTGCGTTATCACTTTAAATTGTTGTTAGTGAAAATCGGTCAAATATTGATGTGAGAAAAGTTTCGTAACATTTGCTCAATTAACCAACGAGTTTGAGATTTCATATCTTATCATAATTTAAAAATTTGATTTATGCAACATTATCGTTAAAATAGTTAAAGGTTTGACTAAATTGGATGGTGTTATTGATTTGAGAGTTTTTATTTAAGAATCTACTCTGAGTCTCTCAAATGTCTTTTTGCTTTTGTCTCCATGAAAAGATCAAGATCTGATATTTATTACCTAAGAAAACCGTAGACTTAAGTTTACAAGTATAGGAATTCAGTGCCTTGAATGTTTGGAGGTTATGCTTGAAAACTTACAAACTTTAGACAGTTTACGAGACTTTTTGAGTCTCCTTCATACTGTTGATGTTTCATTAACTTTGTTGATGACTTTTCACTGATTTGTGACTAGTTTTTAAGTTTAAAAGCGAGAATAATTCAAGTTTTAAACAATAAAGATCCAAAAGCTTTTTTGGTCATAAAATTCATTCACTTTTTATTCCTCTTTTTTCTTTTTTTATAATTATTTTGCATTATATATATTTTTTTATCATCAGCATCATATGTGATACATACTTCTTTGTATTTATTAAACATCTTTGCATAATCTTAACACATTTGCAGTAAATCATAAGAACTCCATCATATTTGCAAGTTCTTTTTTCACATTTCATAATTGTTTCTCTTGTTGTATAATTAATATATTTTATATTATTTATTAGAATTAATTAATTTATGATTACATTTAGAATATGTAATTTGTTTATTTAAAATTTATTTGATCGATAACATTTCATTCATTCACGACTTGTTGCTTGTATCTGTTTTTTTAACCATTTAAGAATTTTTAGAAAAATAAGTAAAGACTGAAAACATTTTTCACTTTGAATTGTTCCTAACTAAGCATGCATAAATTACGGAACCACTGTAGCTTTATTGTTTCTAGCTGGACGTGTAAAATTTTAGCAAACAAATTAAATACAAAGCTTCCCCTCCAGTTCCACACTGCCGTTCTTTTTAAGTGCCCTCTGTTGTCGCAGGCTGAATGGTGCTTGAAATGGATCTTCTGGCAACGCAGGATTTTCAACTGCCGGCGCTAATTGCTCTAATGACTTTGTTCCTGTTTTCGAGATCAAAGAGGAAAGTTTTTTAATTAATGCTTTGAAACTTTATTACTTTGTGGCTTATTGCTGATTTGTTGGCGCTATAATCATGATTTAACATGATTGTTTGTAGAGTTTGCGTGGATATTCATGTGGATAATTTTAATTGGAATCATATTTGTTCAGGAATTAGGAAGTAATTTCTTTTTATAGCATTTCTACATTAAAAAAGACACATGCTGTTATGTTTTAAAATTAGCAGATATATAATAGATACAGCTATTCATTTGACACATTTGCTCAACTAATTTCAGTAAAAAAATTTACGACTTGAATGTTTTTGTGTATTTTTAAAACTTGCTAATTGCTTGTCACTACAATGAATAGTAATAAAGGCAATTTATTTTGCTAATCTACTGAAGGTCTCGTTCCAAACACAAAATTCCAATTCTCCAATAAACCTTTAAACTCAGATTCAATTGATTCAATTTAAATTCTGAGAGAAATAATCAAATCAGCAATAGAAGTCAATTACCTTCTTGCCTAATTTTATCAAACTCAGCACCAAAGAGATCCTCTTCTTCAGCCACAACTTCCGTTTGACTGAAATTTGAATCCTCAAATGGATTCCATTTAGAAATTGCTTCTGTTGTGTCTTTTTTAAAGTTTGTTGACATTAAATCACCACTTGATAAGGAATGTCCAGCTTCAACGAGGTCAGGATGATTTCTATGAATAATAAACAGTCAGCAAAATGATTTATGAACGTACGTGACATAATTTTAAAATAGCATTTACCTTTTAAAGCCTGACGTGTCGCTCATATAACGACGATGTTGATTTATTTTTGCCGTGACTTGCTGTTGTCCATCAATTGCATTATCAAACAAGTGTTGCTGTTGATTAATAACTTGCGGCTGCTCATAATTCGTTTGAATCTGAACGATTTCGTCATCTTGTTCAAAGGGATCGGGAAATGATGACTTAAACAAGTTCTCGAATTTAGCTGTATCGTTATTTTGTTGCTGCTGTACTGGTGGCTGAGGTTGCTTAAAAACATTCGTTGATGGTGCCATATTAACTTGAGATATCACTGGTGCTGTTTGATGTTGATCAATATTATTAAAATCTACCTCAAATTGGGCATTAAAATTATCAGGCGTTTTCGCTGGTATCGGTGACGAAAGGACATTTCTCGGTGAAGGACTTGGTGGTAAACGACCAATTGAAAATTGATTATTGCTAACAGGAGTTAATTGATAAGCTTTCGGTCGTTGCCTAGGCGTAACACTAGTTTCTTTTGATGATAATGGAGCGGCTATAGCTGTTGTTGCCGTTATTGATGATGCAGGCTTTGCAGACGATTTAGGAGTAGTCAGAATCGTTGATTTCTTTACGTCACTTTCGAATGGTGGAGTTATCAAATTTTCTACACTTGGAATTGGTTGTTTCTACGAACAAAATGTTGGCTAATTATTTACCTGCATTCAAATAGGAATGAATGATACTTACATAGAGATTTTGTATAGGATTCTTTCTATTTTGCATTGGAAAAGCGATTTCACCAACTTGGAATATATTTGGTCGCTTATCAATATCAGGTTCCAGCATAAAACGTATTAATTGATGCATAGCAGTTGAATATTTTGAATTATCAGGAATAGTAAAGTTGCCATTCTGAATAGCTAGTGTACTCTCGCCAAACGGAAGTGTAAAGAAGCATAATTTAAATAGGAAACATCCGAGTGCCCAAATATCACTTTTTACTGTTATAGGCAAACCTATTGTATAGAAATCAATCATTTCAGGTGCACGATAACTCAACGTTGTGTATTTCTTTATCTCATCCTCAACAACCGAAACTCCATGAATCTTTGGATTTAAAATCTTGCCAGTTGCACTCCCAAAATCACACAATATGAAATCACCATTATCATTTTGTAACACATTTTCAACTTTTAAATCGCGATGTAATATCGGTGTCTGACAATGATGCAATCGCGATACGCCTTCAATTATATCACAGAAGATTTTTAACACTTCTTGCTCAGTGAAGCCAACATTAAGTCTACAAAAAACATATAGAGAATAAATCCAAATTATAATACTTTATGATACAGCGATAAGAAGCATGCAAGCCCATTACGCCCATAATTTCTACCAAGGGAATGGAACTCAGTGGGTTTCTAATTTGTGTCTGACTGGATGTTTTAAGACTGTTAAATTTTAAAATTGCAACATGGCTGATATTCGCTAGTCGCATATTGAATCAATAATTACATGCAACATCCATTCAATTGTCACTCAAGACTAATTTGATGCAAAACGTAGAATATAAATTTGCTACACAGTAATCAATGTTTCCCCCACTTCACATAATACACTGTTCATTATTTCATAATGCTGGCTGATAATCGCAATAGTAATTGTAGATAAGTTCAATTCCCTTGATTATGTTCACACGAATATGACTCACTTTGAATTCATTAAATTTAATAGATGAACTTTATAGTACGGCATGAGCACAAGAATCTCGTACACTCCATTTCCAACATTTGTGATGCTGCTATCAATAAATCCAATAAGATTTTTATGTCCACTCAAATTACTCTAAAATCAGACCAAAGAAAAAAACGTATCGAAATTCAAATTGATGTAGAGGAATCAATAACTCATTAACATTTGCAATGATCCAGAAAGAAATGGTGCTACTACTATAACAATGAGATTTTGTGTATAAAAAGAAAAGCATATCTTACAGTTATTTGAATCTCTCTTTTTGCCACGGTAAGATCTGTTTCATTATTAACATACATCCTTTTAAGTGCATATTTGACTCCATTATTGCCTTTCACGAGAAAAACGATAGCAAAACCGCCTAGAAATTTATTGATAAGGAAGAAATGTCAAGTTTAGAGTTTTAAAAAAAATCCAGTTCAGAGAGAACATCAGAAAAAAATTGGAGCAAATGTAATTTTACAATCGATTAGTTATCTTACCTTCAGCGAGAATCTCCTCAACAACTACTGAATGCTTATTAATTTGAAATACTTTTCCCGTGTAATTTGTCACGTAATTTGATGGTAGCTTTTCCTCATTTTTATTTTCAAGTTTTGAAAATATCTTTTTCATTTTTTTCTCTTTCTTTTCCCTATTGATTCTTTATTCACTGCATATTCTACACTATATGAACGTTCCGTCTGATTTTACACTATATTTATGTGCATGTTTTGCTATAAAAGTCTTACAATTGGATACTCCAGTATTTCTTATGTGCTGTTTTTGAAAATTCACAAAAAATCTTATAAGCATGGCTGTTGAGTAGATTGTGAAACATAAAAAATTCTTATCGCAATAAGCATAGATATTTGGTGGAAAAATCGTGAAATCATAAATTTTATTTGCTAAAGTGAAGTCGCGTGAGTAAGAAACAATTAATATCTCTTTATGTTTCAGTATCTATTCTACTGTGCTGGTCTACTGGAATCATCTTGGGATTACTTCCATTTATACGATGAAGAGGCAAAATATTATAGAGTCTTGATAGTTTTTTTACTCATTTTCAAAAATCAAAATCTTTTCATACTTTTTGTTTCGAACAATTACAATCACAGTCATTCCATTGATATCAATGGCTTTAATTTACAGCATTATTCATTTAAAAATTAGAAAAGTAAATAATCGAGACGATTTCAATAATGAGATTTACATACAAAAGCAACCATCGTTGAAGATACAATCCAAAAATCACAAAAGAGAGAGAGATCAAAGTTGCATGCAATATTTCAATTATAGTGATTTCTTAACTTTTGTAGTCTGCTGGATAGTAAGTAAATTAAATTATAAATCACAACTAATTTTAAAAAATTCTATTTCAGATATTAAGCCTCCTTAACTTGACATATAAAATATACGGAATCAAGGATAAAACTTTGCTATTAACATTCGTGATCTTGTCACATTCTATTTCAGCAATTAATACGTTATGTATTCTTTTAAAATAGAATCCTTCAAGAAATCTTAATGACAAAATTCAAAATTCAAAAGGAAAGACTTTAAGTTTTTATTCATTGATTTTCTATTAAGATGAAATAGAAAAGGAGATTGATGGAGATTGACTTAATCTTCTGGATTTAGGAATAATTAAATTTGTTCGGCCCGTTTCACTAAAGTGGATTATCCTCGATTTCGGATTATCTACTTTAGCTTTTAATAAATATCTCAAACTTTATGGGAGGTGTGGTATTTCTAATTTTGGATTATAATAGAGTGAACTATGCCTGAAATTTCTGTATACTTTAAACTTTTGCTTTATGTTAACCAAAGAAGATATAAAAATTCTAAGTATATGTTAATTTAAGTAGCAAAGTATTCTAATTATATCACATATTAGATCCCTTAATAACCTTAAGCGTCCAGAAATATTTCCAAAAAACTGAAGTTTATAATCCGAAATCGAGGATAATCCACTTTAGTGAAACAGGCCGGTTATTATTTGACATCTACAATGTAAGAACAAGCCACAAATCAGTGGAAAGTCATCAACATTTAAAATGGGTAGTGCCAATCTCCAACTGATCACACCTCAAATCTTATCAAGGTTCTCACATGAATTTTTCACGTGTTTCAAGAAAAATGCATTCAAATGAGATAACAATATTCGTCCACTCACGATTTATCATCCAAATGATTCAAGTGCTATCGTAAATCAAGGCGAAATAATTGACTCATTTTAATATCAAATGCTTATCAAATTTCCGAGTGACGTATTTTTCCAGACGACTGAACAAGTTATGAACTATTAAATTCGACAGTGTCAGGCACTTTGCTGCTTCAAGTTGAGTTGAGCACAGTTTCAGACATCAAAATCATAATTTACTTTTATTTCCAGCCAGTCAATGTGAATGTTAATTACAATGTTGAGCATTAATCATCTCGGAAAACACATCATTATCTATAGAATTTCTAAAACAAAATTATAGTTGAGTTTGTGGCTGGATGCGGATAAAATCGCGTTTAAAAATGGAATCTGAAAATTTTACAATTTACACAGTAATAGATTTAATTGTATCTATTATTGCTATTATTGGCAACCTACTAGTCATTATAATAGTTTTAAAGGACAAAAATACAAAAACAAGGATGTTGTACTACATTCTCTCATTGTCTTTTGCCGATTTACTATCTGGGGTCGTTGCGATTCCAACAGGTGCCTTGGTTTGTATATTAACATTTTTAAGGATCTGAGAGAAATTAATTGACATGCTGCATTCCAGATTGAACAGGATATTGAGATTGGACACTACTCTTGCTTATGCATGATATCCACAGTCCTTTCTACATTCTCTATTTCAAAATTTTCAATCTTGGCGATAACTATTGATCGATACAGGGTAATGAAGAAAAATTTAAAGAAGAACGCTGTTCAAACTTATTATTCTTTGTTTAAAAATGCAGGCAATTATTCACCCGCTTTCTTATCGATTAGTTCGTAAATCACCACCAATCAGTAAGTCAATTGATACTTTTGGGAAGGGGGTTGTTTAAATATTACCTAATGTTAAACAAAATTTCTATTTCAGCTAGTATTGTGTTCTGTTGGATTACTGGAATTACTATAGGAGCACTCCCACTTTTTGGATGGCGAGATAATACATTGGACAATATTAAAGAGCAATGCACTTTTTCAAAAATTAAATCTACTTCCTATTTCTTATTTCAAAATATAACATCAACAGTCACACCAATGATATCAATTCTCTTGATTTATGGACTTATATATGTCAAAGTCAGAAAGGTAAGCTTATGATCTAGTTCAGTAGTGTCCAAGAAATTAGGTCGTTGAATGCATTTGAATTTGTAGATGAATAATAAAAATGATGAATCAAAGAATGAGAACGAATCACAAACAGAACAGGCATCATTAAATACTAATAGTTCCTATCAAAGTACACAACGACGAGAGATTAATGTCACATGGAACATTTTAATCATTGTCTCGCTATTTTTTGTATGCTGGATAGTAAGTTTAAAATTTTATTTAATCATATCAGATTTTAAAAGAAGAATTTTGATAAATTTTTTAGCCACTAAACGTTCTTCATTTAATAGAAAAAATTTACGATGTGACTGACAAGTACAAGACACTTCTCATGATTTTCATCATTCTTTCGCATTCAAACTCAGCATTAAATCCTTTCCTTTATTCATTTCAAATAAAGACGTTCAGAAAATCTCTATTAAGTGCCTTCCGTATACAAAGAACTATTTAAACATTATTCAACTAATCTTGCGTGTTTCTAAGTCATTAGAATTAAGAATTTGATGTACAAAAATAGCAAGGGGAAATAACTGTAAAATCTTCTCACATACACCTGTATTTACATGCTTTTCCCTCATTTTCCCACATTAACATGTATATACCAGTATATCTTTATTAAAAAGAATAGCTAGCGTTTTTCAGCAGCTGAGACAATCATTAAGCAAGGAGCATCAACAACTTTTCTTTTGATGCCATTAAATGAGCAATGAGAGGATTCAATGATGTGCCAAGAATTGAGGTAAAAATATTTGACTCGTTTAAATTCATTTTTAAAACTTAAAAAGGAACGAAACGCCCCACCGTCCTGTCAATTTTTTTTGGCTTATTTGATATCCTTATTAATTTAAAGGTATCATAGGTTATTAATTTGCTCAATTTCACATTTCTTTCTTTACTTTTAGGATAAGGAATTCTCAGACGTGAGCATCAAATTAGAAGCAGCTGAGACAATCATCAAGCAAGGAGCATCAACAACTTTTCTTTTGATGCCATTAAATGAGCAATGAGAAGATTCAATGATGAGCCAAGAATTGAGGTTAAAAAAGAAAAAAGGTGTGATAACTTAATGCATATAAGTTTTTATTGAACGAATTCAACGCGATCATGGTAATAATTAAATTCATTTCAATAAAAGAGCTTATTTTTAGTGTTTTATTTATAATTTTAGGAATTTTTAAATTCAATCGAGCAAGAGACACAGAAGAAACTACCGAATGTTATTCTAATGTCACTAAATGCAATTGGCGTGACACAACCTGAAGATTTTTCAGAACTTACAAGAACTTACAGAACTTACAAATATTTACAGGTGGACCAGGCATTGACAATCAGCTAATTGCTGAAGCTTAAACTTTTATAAGTGATTGCTTTTGTACAGTTCAAAATTTTGAGATACCATTTATAGTCGTTGGAAAAATTAAGTAAATCGCTCATCACTATCGTGCATCTGCGGGATGAAATACAGCGTCTACTAGCAATATGCAAAATGTTAGCAATGGGATTCAACGTCGTATCGCAAAATGGACTGGACTTTTAACGGTAGAGTTTGAAAAATTATTTCCAAATATCCTTAACGGTGTAAAGGTTGCAGTCGATACAGAGAATTTTCTTGTCTTGTTGACGAAGGAAAACAATGAAATAATGAATAAAATTCAATTCAAAAATTCAATTCAATTCTTGCTACCTGTCCGTTATTTCATTTATCATATTCAATTATTTATCCTAGTCGTAACAATACATTGTGTAAGCATAATTTCGTTGATCATTTGAAACGGAGACATTTGCAAATCAGAAATCCTTCACGCCTCTCAGCACCTCCTCCTATTTCTACTTCGGTTCCTGACTATAGTTCAACCGTTTACAAACTCGTACGTCAAGACGTTCTCGAAGACAAACTTAATATAAGACAACGATATTAAATTTCTTTTTTTTCTATATAATAATTATGTTAGTAAGCTATGAATTTTAAAATTTATGCAATAATTTATTTTCAGGAAAATGACAATCCACAAGTCCCAAATTTTCAAAAAATTTGCTTAGAAAATGTCCAACATAATGAGCTGCATTATAAAGGCAATCGCTTTAGTGATATCATCAAGAATCTGTCATCCTTCATTTTTATACGAGGTGGAAAATCATTGTACAACTTTTTCCAAGCTAATATGGTTTTATCTGAATTGAGCGGTCTTAAAAAATACATGAATAAAGAGCTGGTTGTGAGAGAGATCAATTTGAAACACACTTTGTTTCAACAACATGGCATGATGAAGATACTGAGCCAATCGATGAGAGTCTAATTTTTCAAAATGTTGAGTTTCTTAGCGCTAGATCAAACAATGGCTACTTAACAATCAAAGAGGATGAAACTACACGCATAGTTAAGAAAGATCAGCTGATATGGATGCTAGAAAACAACAAAATTCATGTCAATACAGAAGTTAGACAACGTTTCGTACCTCGTAGGACAATTCATATTAATACATCAGTAAATCAAGTTGATGATTTTTGGATATCCGCAAAAGTTTCAAAATGTGATAATGTTCTTCTATTTGATGAAGGAAATACTATTTTTGGACAAATTTTAAACTTCAAGCGCCTGCATATCCAATCGGTGAGTAAATCAACATTTTATCAGGACTTTGTAGAGATAGAGCATTGTGAAAAAATTGGTTTGATGTCAAGTCCATTATACTTTATTGTTAATGGACAAAAGGTTTTGAGGGACATAATTAAGTATTTTGAATTAAAGCTATATAAATGTCATGTTAATGCTAATCTAGACTTTACTCAGGAAGACATAGCTACTTTCATACGTTCTTTTGACAATAATATTTCAATAAATAATAAACAATTATGTCTTTTTAGCACATTTTTGAAACTTGTTTCGAAAAGGTAGCTTAATAATACGCTTTGTTCGGCTGCTCGGGGCACGTTAAAAAGTTTGCAACAAGACATCGTAGAGAGGTCGGATTTGTTTTATTAGCTCAGTTCTATCGATTTATTGGCCGATCGAATATTTTTGAAGCATAAAACAATGGCTTTGTGCTATAATTAATGATTTTTTTGATTCAGTACTGTGCAAATTGCTCAATTTTTTTTCCCTCTATAATTTCAACATTACCTCTAAAATTTCAAATATTTATTGACCGTTAGAAATTTTGAATTCCAGAAAACCCGTTAAATGATAAATTCTTTCTACATGGAAATTCATTTCATGATCTGTAAACGAACGCAAAATAATTAGGTAATCAAATACTGATCGCTAACACAAAAATGCGCTTAAGTCCCTCGATAAATAAAACGAGGACATTTTTTTTTCATTATTCCTTAAAATGTACCTTTAAATTATTATTTTAATCCCAATATATTTGTGGTAATTTATTTTCTGTGCATACCTATATTTACATGTTTTTTTCCCGCATTGACCCCCATTTTCCCGCATTTACATGTAAAAACCAGTAAAAACCTGCAAATACCTGCATTTACATGTATTTTTACGCATTTTCATACGAGTTCTTTCCCCTTGAAAAACAGCTGCCATATTTTTAAATGTATTAGTAATTGAACTTTTGATAACCGTTAAATTTTAAATACTGAAAAGGTTAATTAAACTTAAATTAACAACTTATTTTTTTTAACAACCTTTTTTATTGAACAAAGAAGAAAAAATCGTCAAAAATATTTTTAATAAACTTTCATATTCGACAATTTAAAAATCTCGTGACATAATTTGTTACGTAAAAATTATGTCTTTTTTCAACCCGCACTAAGAACCATCATTTGCAGTCATTTGTAACCATTTTCATATTTTTTGAGATCTCAATAATTTATTAATGTGATATTCGTGGCTCAAATTGCAATTACGCATCAATTTACAGACCTTTAAGTCAGTCCTCGTCATCACTTAACTCGTACGTTGCATTTCTAGTCGATTTTCTCGAATCGTTCCTTAAATTTCGTTTCACTTTTCCATTTGACGTAGGCGTACTGGTTGTGATTTTTCCTGTGTTATTAAGGACACGAACTTTATTGAAATTTGGCATTTCCCGCAATTTCGACTTAGGGATGACATTCAAGTCTTTATCCACGACAATACTTTCTTGAATAATTGATCCACTGCTGTCAGAATCTTCCTCATCCGTACTTAATTCATTTAAAATTTGACCATGTTCTGCAGTCTCATCTTGAGTGATATGTGCATCACCTTCTACAAAGCTTGCAAATCGCAATGGCTGTGATAAATTCATTACGACTTTCCATTGCTTACAATCTGGACTTTTTACATAATTTCTAAGTTCCTTTAATGCCTTTTCAGTTTCACGACGTCCAAGCTCTTCAAATTCTTCGGAAGTAAGCAGTCTCGGTTTTGGTGGGAAGAATCGATTGTAAATGCGACGAAAAGACACAAATTTGCCTTTTGGGAAGTAGTAAGTAACAATAGCTAGTCCAATTATAGCCAAAACAGCTTCAAGAAAGTCACTCGAGAAATAAATTGATACTAATCCAAACAGCTGCAGCGCCCACATGATTAATTTCTTTGTTCGATCATTTTTTGGTGGACCCATATAGTAGCACACTCCAAAACTGATGACACTCGTTGTGATGATGTAAATTGCTACATATTTCTGGTATACAAAAAGTAATGGCTGGATGTTGTCGAAAACCATCTGAGCGAAATAAGCAACTAGAGCCCATCCAGAGACTAATGCTCCGTACATTAATGGTTTCTGGAAGTAAAATAAATATAATTTAATTATCTCTGGATTTTAAGTACATACAGCTGGTGCTTACCTTAGGAATTAACTTGCTTATAAACCAGATAAGTACAAGAATGGAAGCAAAAACGCCAAGCAGAATGCCACACAAGTAGAAGAATGCTGAATTATTGCTCAGCTTTGATGACAGCAAGAAGAGAAATAATCCAGCAACAAGAAGACAGCATTTTGTAAGATCCAGTCTAATTTGCTTGACATTGACTGTATATTCATTGCTTGTGGATATTCCGATGCAAGTTTGATTGAATGGATTAAGTTTGATGCTTCTCTTTTTACTATGTGAGAATATGCTAAATGAGAAGATTGATTTATGGTTCTCGTGTGCTTCCTTGACTTCCTTTTCTGTATTTCCATGATAGCACGTAAAGTCATCGTCCTCAATATCTATATTGAGTATTACAGTTTTAAGCAGGTAAGATATCTGTTTCTCAGCACCTTTATAGCAAAATATATTCATTTTCTCTATGGCATATCCAAATCTACGTTCTTCAGGTATCACATGAACTTCTGAATTTGGCTCTAAATAATTTACTGAAAATTTGTTTTGATTTTTTTAAAATTTCATCATTAATTGAAATAAATGCTTAATTACTTACCGGTCTTACTGGATACATGATGCATTAGACATAATTGAGTCAGAATAATCAGCTGGAGCACTTTTAAATGCCTAATATAGCTCATTTTTGTGAATAAATAAATTCTCAACTATTTTCAAATCTTTAAGCGTAAACAACTTTTTTCAACTTAAACCTCGCTATAACGACATTTGTGGATGATTCCCTAATGTTTTTGTTGTTTTGGCAATGAGTTTCCAATAAAAAAAGCTTGAGTCAGATTCAATAACAGCGCAAACTGATGACTTTTATCATAAAAATGACAGTTAAATTAATATTTGAAAATTTCATAAAATTTGCGGGACTTTCAACTTTAAACCGATACAGTCTGAAACCGATTCAGGTTGGAAATTAATTAAATCTTTAATTCGCCAGTTTAACAGGTAAATCTAGCGTGAAATTTAATTAAATTTATATCAAACGATCACCAAAGATTCAATTTCCATAATCAGCATAATCAGATTGTGCTGTTATTTGATTTAATATGAAAATTCACAATTTTTTCCAAAAATCAAGTGTTACACAATCAATTTTTTCATTAAATTATTTCGTGTTTACATTTTAGCAAATATCCGACATGTCTATCGCTTTACGAGGTGCTCGTCTTCTTACAGCGCGTGGTATTCGTGCCATTCAATCCCGTGGATATTCAGATGAGATGAGTTTCACGTTAGCTGCTGCAAACAAAGTTTTCTATGACAACGTTAGTGTAAGACAAGTCGATGTTCCATCATTTAGCGGTGCATTCGGTATTTTGCCAAAACACGTACCAACATTAGCTGTCTTAAAGCCCGGTGTTGTCACAGTCTACGAGAATGACGGATCACAGAAGAAAGTATTCGTATCAAGTGGAACAGTTACTGTAAATGAGGATTCATCAGTTCAAGTACTTGCTGAGGAGGCACAACCACTCGATCTTATTGATGCTAGTGCCGCCCGTGAAGTCCTTTCAAAATCACAGTCTGAACTAGCATCAGCATCAACTGACAAGGTGATATTTCATTGCAATTTCTTGACATTATTGCTCATAACTTAATTTATCCTTTTAGGCTCGCGCTGAAGCTGCCATTGCTGTTGAAGTTGCAGAGGCAATTGTCAAAGCTGCTGAATAAGTTCGATAAATTATCGTTAAATTTAGGTTCCATACTATCCCTTTCCAAAAGTAATAAACAAGTTTAAAGAATTGCATCCTGTAATGAGGATATCTACATCTATCGTAAAGACCGACATGTCTTTAAAGTCACCAAAATTTTACAAACGACATGGAAAAATAAATAAAAATCTTAAGTTGAGAATGAATAAGAAAATAAAGACGTGAACATAATTTCGCGGGATTTAGTGAAATCAGATATTGAACAAAATCTTGATGCTCTTAATAGATGTATGCTTCATTTACAGCATCAGTCAACTGAATTGGACAACATTATGGCTTCTTGTGCTGTTTTGACCTAGTTTTAGCTATAATATTACTAAAATATTTTCATTTCAGAGGTTCCAAATTTGGAAGTTTTGCAGATTTGATAGTTCATGAGAAGGTTCTTTATCAAAACAAGATATGTATTTTTAATACAAGCTGAACTTGATGTATTGAGTTTTTGAATTTATAAACATGCATGCTGCTAACAGCATCACGATCAAAAACTGTTGTATGGTTCTAATGTATTTTTCGTATTCAATAATTCAAATAATTTGTAACCGTTAAGTTTTCAAAAAGTCTTCTGCCGTTATTTGCTATAATTTTTTTTGTAACTCCCAAATTAAGCTTTAAACTATTAATGAGAGCTTTCTCTTAATTTCAGTATAACGCAAAAGGTCACAGAAAAGGTTATCTATCGACATAAAAACATAGACTTATTGTTGTGAATTTACAGATTTCAGTTCGTGGGGGAATATTGACGTGAAAAGTCGATGATTTACGCTGAATTTGTAAACTAGTTAATCTTTATAATAAGGAGATACCAGAGATAAGTCATGTCAAGACGATTCCTATTTGCAACAACACATTTAATTAAAAATATTTCATCAAAACAAATTCATAGTGCATCAGGAAATTATCAAGTGAGTAAAAATAGGAAAATTTATAATCCCAGCAGAGATTTTATGTCCGTAATCATCCTTATCAATTGTGAAGGCTCTCTTTAAATAAGTTCTACGTCAATTTTATGTCTATCAGCATGTTTTTATGCGACTTACAATAACAAAGCAAAAGAAAACAGACAGCAAGCTTAAATGCTGTTGGGAAGGAATGGCTTGTGCGCATTTGAGCTTGCTATTGATGCTATAAAAATTCAACGGATTTTTAAAATTTAAACATAGCCCGTTGTCAATAATTGATCAAAAATTATAGCAAATGAAAAATTAAATTAATTACCCTAAAACGTAGCTATTAAATCGAAGTTTACCATTGAAAGGTGAATAATAAGATACAGAACATTAATTAAAATGGGTCCCAAACCTTAAAACCATGTAAATAATGTAATTCATAAGATCCAGTGATCTCGCCCAAAACATCCAGAACAGTAAGCTAGACAAACTTAAATTTGTTACCACATATGCATACAACTTCGCTAAAACTCGAGACAGAATGAGAAGTGAGAGAGAAGAGGAGATAAGAAGTTTTATACAAAACAAGTCATTCAGAAGTTGTTCGTGGTACTGTAAACGCGTAAATTTTTTTAACTAAATTCTTCTATTAAATACGTATAGAAAATGTCTGGAAGTGCCAAGATATTGCATCAGAATCTCTGGGATCAAGATCCTGAATTGATGGACATGATCAAAAAGGAGAAACAGCGTCAGTTGAGAGGACTAGAAATGATTGCTAGCGAAAACTTTACATCTTTGGCTGTTCTTCAATGTCTCAGCTCGTGCCTGCATAATAAATATTCTGAAGGCATGCCAGGTCAACGGTAAGTAAAGATAATAATTTGATTAATGTCATGAACCGGCAATTTCATAATAACCTTTAAAAGAGCATCATGTCCAGCGATTATTGCATTATGATTAACATTTGTGCATTTCAGTTACTATGGCGGTAATCAGTTCATCGATGAGATTGAAATCCTCGCACAAAAGAGATCATTAGAGGCTTATGGATTAAATCCAGAGGAATGGGGTGTTAATGTCCAACCTTATTCTGGATCACCTGCTAATTTCGCTGTCTATACAGCACTAATTCAACCACATGATAGAATTATGGGACTCGATCTTCCCGACGGAGGTCATTTAACTCACGGATTCCAAACTGCAACAAAGAGAATTTCAGCAACATCAATTTACTTTGAATCTATGCCTTATAAAGTTGATGCCGCAACTGGACTCATTGATTACAGCAAATTAGAAGAGTCAGCAAAGTTGTTTAAGCCAAAAATTATTATCGCTGGAATGTCATGTTACAGTCGTTGTTTGGATTATAAGCGATTCCGTGATATTGCTGATCAAAATAATGCTTATCTCTTCTCTGACATGGCACACATTTCTGGCCTTGTTGCAGCTAAAGTCATTCCATCACCATTTGAATATTCCGATGTTGTATCTACAACTACTCATAAGACATTAAGGGGTCCTCGTGCTGGGGTTATTTTCTACAGAAAAGGTGTCCGATCAGTTAAAGCAAATGGCGATAAAGTCATGTATGATTTGGAATCTAAAATTAATCAAGCAGTCTTCCCAGCTTTACAAGGTGGTCCTCATAATCATGCTATAGCAGCTATTGCCACAGCAATGAAACAAGCTCAATTACCAGAATTTAAAGAATATCAAGAGCAAGTCCTTAAAAATGCTCAAAGATTATGCAAAGGATTAATTGAAAAAGGATATAAAATTGCTGCTGGCGGAACTGATGTCCATTTAGTGCTTGTTGATTTGAGAGCAGCTGGAATTACTGGTGCACGTGCTGAATACATTCTTGAAGAAATTTCAATTGCTTGTAATAAAAATACAGTTCCTGGTGACAAATCAGCACTTAATCCATCAGGAATTCGTCTTGGAACTCCAGCATTGACTACAAGAGGACTCGTTGAGTCTGATATTGATAATGTTGTCGAGTTCATTCATCGTGGCTTGGAACTTTCAAAGGAAATCGCTTCAAAATCAGGTCCAAAACTTGTTGATTTTAAGGCAGCCGTCCATAGTGAGCAATTTGCTGGGAAAGTTAAAGCCATACGTGATGATGTTGAGGAATTCAGCATGAAATATCCTATGCCTGGATATGAAGATTATTAAATATTTCGTTTTGTGAAATTTTTTTGTGTCTTATTTCTTTTTATAAGCAAATAAAGTTAATTAAAGAATGTTTTTATCAAGCAAGTATTTATCTTTTGCACAAAAGAGCTAATTGTTGATAAAATTTACTGCAAACAATTGAGATGTTGCTGATTGTATGAAGTATGGGTGATTTTAATTACGTTAATTGAAATGGCATCTAATTAGATTAGGGGCCGTTCACTTATTACGTTCGCATTTTAGGGGGGAGGGGGGGGGGGGGGGTTTGAAAAATTGTAACAAAATGCAAACGTTCTAACTGTCGTCTGTCTTTTAAAAAAATATTAACGAAAAAAATTTGAATTATGAACGTTCAGGGGGGGGGGGGGGGGTTGCGAGTTGTAACATGTTGTAACAAGGGGGGAGTATTATTGCGTAACGTAATAAGTGAACGGCCCCTTACCATTTATGGATGTTCTTGATCTTAAAAAAATATTCTGAGTTTATCGTCAGATTTAAATTAATCCTCGGATTTATAAATTTAATCTTTACAATTTCAAATAATTTTTAACCGTTATTTTTCAAATATTTTTTCACCGTTTTTTTTCAAATTAAAATTTTAATAGCTATTTAGACAGTAAAGTTGAAAATCAACATTCCACTATTGGGCAAAATTAAAAAAAGAGGGACTTTCACTTTGATTTTGGGACTTTTTCGAATTACTAGTGTATCGGGTAGAAACCCAATGCGGATTATATTCACACCGTACTATCATAAGTCTTATGGATAGACCAAGATTTGCCCATCATAAGTATGAAGGTATGAAGCTTGATAAGTCAACTGAGCTTCGCTCAGCATGAGTTTGAATGAATAAAGCTAGCGTGTCAATTGAGCTTCTCTCAGCATATGTTTGAAGTTTTTAAACTTAACGAACATTCTTAAAAAGTTTTTTAAGAACATTTTTCTTCCAAAGTTTAATTTTATAAAAATCACAGTCAACTTTTGTTTTGAAAAATTCATAAGAAAGGAAATTTTTTTGCTATTTCTGAAGCAACGGCTGTTCCTACCTTGCCCAAAAACAATACAGCTCTTCTATAGAGCAGCACGGATCAAATGTAAAAATCTAGAAGTCTCTACGATGTCTCGTTATTGAGATTTCTTGCTGATTAACTTGCTTGCTTGCTTGTTTGCTTACAGAAAGCGTATTTTGCGATTTTCTCAGCAATGCCACCACCAATTTAAAATTTGTTTTTTGAAAATGATGTAAAATTTTAGGCACAAACTTTTCTTCTTGACCTTTTATAACCAACTTATCATTGACTGCTAGGTCTTATCATTGATGAACAGCTTACATTCAAATGTCATGTCGATGAAATTAAGAAAAGAATTACTCCGTTTATATACGCGTTACGAAGAGCAAGAAAATTCATATCTGAAAAAACAGCTAGAGATTTATACTATGCACATGTGCAGTCACATTTAGGTTATATGAGTACAGTCTGGTCTTGTCTTTCAGTTGGTCAAATGAAGTCTCTTGAGATTCTTCAAAGAAAAGCTCTAAGAATTGTATTGAGGAAAAGTTGGTTTGCTGGAAAGGAGATATTGTATAGCATTAGACTTTTGCCAGTCTCTGTAATGTGTAAAACAAACTGCTCTCTTCAAGTATTTAAATTTGCATCGAATTTAATTAAAAATAATGTCGAAATACAATTAGGTAGCGATATTCATAATCATTCGACAAGAAATCGAGGAAATTTCACAATAAGAATGTGCCGCACTAGTCAAGGAGCGCAGAATTTTTACATTAGAGCATTTGCGGATTTCAATAATCTTCCACAGCAGATAAAGGCTTTTCATTCATTGAGCATTATTAAAAATCGTTTGAGAGAACACTATTTGGAATTGTATTTTGATGCTAATTAAATTAAATTGAATATGAAGTAATTTGTTTTTTATTCTCTCTCTGCAATAATTAATTTGTATAAATTTATAACACAACTTTAAGTTTGATATAAATAAATGAACTTTTAAACAAAAAAAAAAAAAAAAAACTTTGCTTTGTTTTCTCACAAAATGCGAAAAACTGATTTTTCAATCTGAACAAAACACACGTGAAAACGGTGTGAATATAAAAAACGGTTTTCAGTTTCTAGTAGTCCTATGTAAGAACTATATTAACTAGAAATCAAGGGCTTTATGATGATATGGTTTTACCCCTTAAGTAGTCGTCATCTAAGATAGTTGCGGCGTGTTTGAAGATATTTTTGCTAGGATTTTCATACCTTTACTACCATATGAGTAAAAAAATTTATCGAGTAATTATGTACTTCACCAAATATAGTTCTTATAAAGGACTACTAGAAACTGAAAACCGTTTTTTATTTTAATTAACCGTTGCAGAGAGTTTTGACTTCAAAGCTAGACTATTTTCCGACTTCAAACAGCCATAAAATTGCAGGAACAGCACCAAATGACTTGAAATGTGACATAGAAGTCAGGTTTTATGTCTTCTACAAGTAAAAATTCACTTGAGAACGTAATTCGAAAAAGTCCCAAAATCATATGAAAGTCCCTCTTTTTTCAATTTTGCCCCATAGTGCATTCTGAAATGTAAATAAAACAAAGTTCAAAGTAAAAAGCAAGGTCTTAAATCTTTTATATTTTTCTCAATGAATATTGATTTCATATTCACACAAAATTTTCAATTTTTGTGAATATATTGTTTTTGGTTTTTCGGAAAATCAGTTTTTTTAACTTTCTGCTTCAGGCTTACGAAATCAACCCAAATACCTGATATGTAAAAGTTTGTGCCTCGAAATACCTATCTAATGGTGAAAACAATTTTTCATTTGGCAGTTCCAGTTCCAAAAACTCGCAAAAAAGGGCATTCTGTTAGTTAGTTAGTTAATCGGTGCGATAACTCGCTTCAAACTTAATATTAAGACTTCCGGTTTTTTGCTTCTGATAGATAAAGGCTACCGCAAGAACTGTATTGTTTTTGGAGTCATAAGATGCTTCCAGTGAGGCACAAGATGCATAAACATATTTGTATGGGAAAAGTTTAACCGATTATTACATAACATATTTATTTTTTGTTTACAACGGAAATATTTGTTGGTATTAGTGTGATATTAATAAAATGGTTGTGACAGTATGCATTAAGTTAAATGTATGTGAAAAAATGTTGGAACTAGCAAGTTCCTTTACAAGATTCAGCATACTGTATCTATGTTATTAAATACAAACTTTATTTGTATCATAATGAAAATATTTTTTTTTTGTTTAATTCTTAATTTTTTTCCTACTCGATTATTTTGTTTTTGTTTCAAACAGGCTTATACTTACTGGATCTTATTTCCAACGACAGCACAATTTCAATTTTACTTTCACAATGTCTGTGAAAGTGTGTTAAATACTTGTTAAATGATTGAATTAATTTTCCACAATGATTTTTCACTTTCAACAAATTTTCAAAGTTCACTACGAACTTTTTCTTATCTTAATTATAAAATTGATTGAAATTGTAATTGTCAAAGCCTACTTAGATCTTTTTCTTATTTCTTAATTATAAAAAAAATTCAAATTGAAATTGTCAAAGCCCACTTGTACTTTTTCTCAAACTTTACTGGATCTTGATTTTAAGTTTCAGACATGCTTAAAACTTTACTGGATCTTGATTTTAAGTTTCAGACATGCTTAAAACTTTACTGGATCTTGGTTTTAAGTTTCAGACATGCTTAAAACTTTACTGGATCTTGGTTTTAAGTTTCAGACATGCTTAAAACTTTATTGGATCTTGATTTTAAGTTTCAGACATGCTTTAAACTTTACTGGATCTTGGTTTTAAGTTTCAGACATGCTTAAAACTTTACTGGATCTTGGTTTTAAGTTTCAGACATGCTTAAAACTTTACTGGATCTTGGTTTTAAGATTCAGACATGCTTAAAACTTTACTGGATCTTGGTTTTAAGTTATAGACATGCTTTAAACTTTACTGGATCTTGGTTTTTAGTTATAGACATGCTTAAAACTTTACTGGATCTTGGTTTTAAGTTTCGGACATGCTTAAAACTTTACTGGATCTTGGTTTTAAGTTTCAGACATGATTAAAACTTTACTGGATCTTGGTTTTAAGTTTCAAACATGCTTAAAACTTTACTGGATCTTGGTTTTAAGTTTCAGACATGATTAAAACTTTACTGGATCTTGGTTTTAAGTTTCAGACATGCTTTAAACTTTACTGGATCTTGGTTTTAAGTTTCAGACATGCTTTAAACTTTACTGGATCTTGGTTTTAAGTTTCAGACATGCTTTAAACTTTACTGGATCTTGGTTTTAAGTTTCAGACATGCTTAAAACTTGACTGGATCTTGGTTTTAAGTTTCAGACATGATTAAAACTTTACTGGATCTTGATTTTAAGTTTCAGACATGATTAAAACTTTACTGGATCTTGATTTTAAGTTTCAGACATGCTTAAAACTTGACTGGATCTTGGTTTTAAGTTTCAGACATGATTTAAACTTTACTGGATCTTGGTTTTAAGTTTCAGACATGCTTAAAACTTTACTGGATCTTGGTTTTAAGTTTCACACATGATTAAAACTTTACTGGATCTTGGTTTTAAGTTTCAGACATGCTTAAAACTTTACTGGATCTTGGTTTTAAGATTCAGACATGCTTAAAACTTTACTGGATCTTGGTTTTAAGTTATAGACATGCTTAAAACTTTACTGGATCTTGGTTTTTAGTTATAGACATGCTTAAAACTTTACTGGATCTTGGTTTTAAGTTATAGACATGCTTAAAACTTTACTGGATCTTGGTTTTTAGTTATAGACATGCTTAAAACTTTACTGGATCTTGGTTTTAAGTTTCAGACATGATTAAAACTTTACTGGATCTTGATTTTAAGTTTCAGACATGATTAAAACTTTACTGGATCTTGATTTTAAGTTTCAGACATGCTTAAAACTTGACTGGATCTTGGTTTTAAGTTTCAGACATGATTTAAACTTTACTGGATCTTGGTTTTAAGTTTCAGACATGCTTAAGACTTTACTGGATCTTGGTTTTAAGTTTCACACATGATTAAAACTTTACTGGATCTTGGTTTTAAGTTTCAGACATGCTTAAAACTTTACTGGATCTTGGTTTTAAGATTCAGACATGCTTAAAACTTTACTGGATCTTGGTTTTAAGTTATAGACATGCTTAAAACTTTACTGGATCTTGGTTTTTAGTTATAGACATGCTTAAAACTTTACTGGATCTTGGTTTTAAGTTTCGGACATGCTTAAAAC